GGTAAAACAAAAGCACACCCCGTTAAAATAGAACCAGGCCTCAGTTTGATGGTGAGTTTTGGAGGCCAGAAAAGGAAATTACAATGTCTAATTTCCAGTATGTCCACTACGCTTTGCTACAGTGTAGAGGTTGGATATGTCAATATATATATGAACTGAAGATTATCATATAGCATTGTTACACTGAGTGTTGGGAGTAGTCGAGACCTCCTCGGTTTTCCTTTTATGACTTGGAATATTTTCGATGATCACTAACATATATATATAATATATATCGCGCTCTACTTTTACGTATCGAGCACTGTAAAACGGAAAAATCAAAACAAAAGACTTCCTATATATATATTTACTTTGCAGCTTCATGTTATAAATTCAGGTTCTAGTGTTTTAGGCACTACAAATATAAGAACCCTTACTATTAGGGTACTTAGTTGTGGTAGTCTCGTTTATCATTTTAGCGTTGTAAATAGAGTGAGTTTGCTAGTATTGTAAAAGCAAACAAAAAAAAAGCAAAATATATTGTCGCGTTTTTTTGGATATAAACATCACCATGTTTCATAATTAAATTGTTGTAGCTTGTTTGAGATGTGATAATAACTGTAATTTTCGCCATCTTATTAATGTTCCAGTTTTGATGACCATGTGCTCTGCACTGCAATCGTCTCTGTTAGGTTTTGTCGTAGTAAACAAATGTCGCATTATGGAAATACCAATTTAGACAACTGCTAAACAGGAGAGCATGACGCTTCTCCTTCGGGCGTTGAAGAGACCCAAATTTTTCGACCAGACCCTAAATTCTTGGCTTTTTCTCGAGGTAATTTCGTTACTAGAATAGTGCACTCGTATTGCAGGGATAACACTTTGAAATCAAATAAAGCCCTGATTTTTCTCATTTTTTTGAGTTCCTTTATCCAGTTGCATGAATTGGTAATTCCACCGCTTAGAAACTAGGCAATGTATCATAACATGCTGGATCCTTACACAACAGTAATTTTAATACTTCTTTAAAATACTTGAAATATTGTAAGTATTCAACTAGATGTTAAGTTTGTGATTAATTTTTTTAACTATTGCTTAAGAATTACTTTGAATTAGTTTCTAGCGCTCAAAATTAGTTTAGAAAAGAGAAATTAACACAAATAAAGTTTCTTACTCTATCTTATCTCATAGTTTTTTCAGCTGTTTTCCTTTAACGAAAGGAATATCTAGAAACGTATCTACCCTACAATTCTACGTTCTTTTAAATTAATATATTCAGTCATCTTTCACCACGCTATGAGTTCGTTTTAAAAGACTCTAGGCATAGACAAAACTGAGCACTGCGTGATATTGTCTAAATGACTTATCTAAAGTTCTAATAACCCCTGCTTTGAGTTTTTTCTTTGATTGCACCGCTCTGTTTCCTTGTTTGCAGTCTGTCTGTAATTTTTGATCTCGTATTGGTTGATATTAGGGCACCATCACTACCGTACCTATTTACTGCTGTGATTCAACTAAGAAATCATGGAAATAGCGCCTCGAGTCGAAGTATAATGTTATCTCCACAATGTGAGCGTTTTCCAAAGACTTAATTAGAGGTAGTTAATGCTGCATGTAAATTTTTCCGCGGATGGCAGCTAAAATATCACACCACCACACAGGCACCTTACTGTACAATGTTCTAGACTTTGGCCTACGCTGTTTTCGCCAGCAAAATTCTTCGTTTCAGTGCACAGACAATGGCAGCAGTACATCTTCTTACCACGGTCGCAAGTTTGAAATTAGTCACTTGCCTGGTTTAGATTTGGAATTGTACCAATTCCTACCAAACATACTGCATTTATTATTTAATAGACTTACTGTTTGACTCTTCTCCACCTTTTCACAAAATAAACACTTTATAGGATTTCCAAACTGAGATCCTGGGTCAACAAGATAATAACTAAGAGGTTTCTAGGCAGGGCAGCTCGAAGTTTAACTCTCTATGTAGCATACTGTAAACCTCGCACAAATCGTGCGCCAACCTCGTCCCATTGTTTAACCAACCACGCATCATTATTATGACAACTGTTTACCAGTTTTGACTGAACCTTGCACAAACGATATCTCTCCTAGAAATGTGTGCCATTTTTTCCCCGCACAAAAACCTGCGCAAATGCTACCAAAGCGGCACAATGACCAAGGTCTGCATTGGTAATGATAGAGTGATAGATCTTCGAATGTCCGCCAGCCAGGGGGAAGGAAGACATTTTCTGTCTCCTCCTTTAAGTGAAAGCCACAGCCGACACACTTAAAGGAGAAAAGAGCTTGAAAGCTGTTCAGCCATTTTTGAAGGACAAAATAAAAATGATCACGCAAGTTTCGTTTTTGTACCGATAGATCAATCTTAGAAGTGTGCGCTTCAGGAAGTTTCCTTATTTCACTTCCAGCTCTACATTTGCGAATGGCTCCGGGTCATATTTTCTTCGTCTTTTACTGCCACTGGATATCAATTTGGTTTCGATTTCACCACGATGCTCTCCAAAGAACAATCACACTTGTATTTGCGTCAACTCAGGCGTAAAAAGCTGCATCCATTGAGTTCAAGCTGCGATGTTTTCACCATGGATATCTGAAAATAATCTCCTTAAATTTTAAAACCACCCAACCCTTAGAACTAATGCCAGACAAAAAATTATACTTAACTTACCAGTAAGCCTCTCACTTGAGATGTAGGATCACTTGGGATTAATGGTGTGATACAACTGAAGTTGCAGAATCTGTTATCTGATGGATAACAATTGCATGTGAGCCATCAGATATCGCCCAATAGCAGTATAACACGAAGCATCCGCTAGTTATACATGTACATTAACTCTTCCCAGATCATGTGCGCTCATTTCTTATTCTGTAATATCACTTTTAGTTCGCTTCTCTCTTCTGTCATTTACCCACCCTTTCCCACCCGTGGACTGCATCAGGGGAAAAAGGGCTTCGGTCCTACATGTACCTACCCTTGATGAAGCTTTGCTTGTTCTGGAAAACAACAAGATGATTTTGTATATGTCTGTACGATTGTTGTTTCTTAGTGCTTAGGATTATAAGAGAGAAGGACATAATTATTCATTTTTGTGCACACATTTTGTTCTAAAAAGCAAAGTCACTTAATAAGCTTCTAAACACAACTAAATTCTATGCACGACACGAAAAGATACTCACCTTTCTGAAGAAAGCATTCAAGAATATTTATATGTAAGTTTTAATTTGTAAACTTATCAAATTGATTTCAACACTTCATATCAACTGTTTTAGCATAGGCTGGACACAAAACTTGTCATACCTCAACAACAGGAGCTCCATGCGCTATTGATGTTGACAGCTCTAAGCAAGGATACAAAGATTTGCCTTCACCCAAAGCTTTCTGAATTTCCCTGCAACATTGTGAGTAATCAAAAAGTCATAATCAATATCGCACACGTTGCAGAGTTGTTCACCTGCCCACAAACGTGACTTTGTCCATTATAACATGGCAATCCATCACACTACATGAAATAGCAGACTGACAATATCTGTCAATCCAACGGGCCAAATGCACCCTAGAAAAAGCAACATTTTTGCAAAAAAACGACCCCTGCGCTACTTTAAACATTGTGCATATTGCATTTCAAGATTAAAATTAATGAAATAAAGGTTGTCATAAGAACCTTTTAATTTTTTTAGAGTCTAGTCTGAAATGTGAATGCAAAATGCCACTAACCACAGTCTTGTAACGACAACTAGTGTTAATTAGTAACACAGTATCAGCAGCTTGCACCGACCAAAATGTCAATATTTAGCAATTATGAAGCAAGGCTGAGCAAAACATCATTACATGTCATTGGTGAAAGGGTCAATCATACCCCAAAGCCCAATTGATCTTCAAGACACAGACTAGTCACTCTATTTTGCAACAACAAGTTAGGCATTCAATTTGCCAAGATTGTTTGTCACATTTATTTTCCAGAATCTCAGACAGCTTTGGCAAGTAATCTGCCATTTTCCAAATACATAACTTCCCCAGATCAGTATAATAACTAGCAGCGAAACTGGGATAGAAGGTGTTACCCAAGAGGGAACCCTTATTTGAAGGAGGTTATTCACCCGTCACAGGTAAGCTCTTGGCCAATGACAAAAATAAATGCAGCGCATTATTATAATATTGTGCAGCCCCAAATATTGACACAAATGCTATCTCTTAACACTTAAGGAATACATATGCTCAAAAGAAATGGGAGGAAGCCATGCAAAATTCACGTCCCCAACCAGTGATAGAGATCGCTTGCAAAACTCCATTTCATCTTTGTCGTCAAGGTTTTTTTTAAGTTAGGATTATCCATTTCCGTTATACTGAATACGGGTAACTCACTTTCCTGATTACACGTTTGCTTAATATGTGTAACTTGAAGCATAAGAAATTATCGTATTTCGAAGTGCTGGATTTTTTATTGTATCATCGTCTATCCTATAAAAAAAACTTTTACAAAAAATGCTTTTCAATTTTCCTCTGGAAAAGTAACTGAAGCATCAGCTTGTCCGTTACAAGTACAAGTTTGCGTTTGGTCCTAATTCCAGAAGGAATATTCTGAGCTGCACGTTTCCTCAAACAGTGGCTTTTCAGTTGAAAAAAAATTGTTTACAAAAGACCTGGTAATTGAACTACTGAGAACGAATTGCGAGTGTAAATCGAATAACTGATGTAAAATATGTTCATGGCTTTGGAGGAAAATATGCATAGCCGGGCTGAGAACTTTTTTATCATTATTGGGCTCTTGCGGACCTTTATCTGTTTTTGTTGTTGTCGTTTTTTTTTTAGGGTTTAATTCAATATTTGTCTCTTTCTTTACACGTTTGGTTATCTGCCTCGCACATTGATGTATCTAGCTGAGCCTAAAAGTGGAGCTCCGCCCTCAACTGATCATGCATCCTCAAACTTTGATCGGACGCGAGTATTGGAGTGAAAAGTTTGCATCATAGAACTGTCAAGATCTCACGGCTCCGTGAGTTCCCGAATTTATTTCGATATAGGTGTTCTCAGTAGCTCTGCAACTCTCACGGTGACCATAACAGTAGAATACTTTGCTGAGTCTGGGCCATCTACAAAGTTAAAAAAAAAAAATGTTAACGAACCGACGGACATTAGCAGTTACCCTTCGAAACAAAATGTAAGTTCCCCAGACAGAATGTCCAGAATGAACCCGACAATCATGTTCCACTCGGAAAAAAATGAATAATGTTCGAACTTAATACTACGAATATCGTATCGACAAAATCTTGACGGCCCCCGTACTCTCCTTTAAGCTCATTTAACCCGCGGTTACCAATTCATCGAATGTGCAGCAAAAAGTAAATAACAAAAATTGAATATATAAACTCAGGATGATTGCATCGTTGTATTTAGAATAAACGCTTCAGGCATCACCAGTACCATAAATTATATACATATTTTGAATGAGTAGAAGCCTTTGTCGCTCTAACTACGAGTGCAAACCAGCTACCTTGTATGGGTAGACTCCATCACCTTTTTAGTTGAGGTGTAATCTCGAATATCGTATATTTCAGAAACAAATTCACATGCTATTCCAAGTCTCTTGCGCTGTATTTCGCGTAATAAAAGACAAACGTTGCGATCGATTGCGTAATACGTGCAAATTATTGATGAACAACAGAAAACAGGGATATGCTAAAGAATATCGCTGACTGTGCAAAACTAAAGAAGTTCTGATGCAATCCGCCGACATGCATAACTGTTTTATTACGTTCCCTATCATTATTTTACAGCTTACGTGTTAAACCGTGACTACTCTCGGCTGCAGTAAATGTTGCTTCATCACAAAACTGAAAACAGTTTTTCCAACCAGAGAAACAGATCGATGACTAAGCTGTAGAAGAAAAAATCTCGGTGCGTATATAATGTTATATTTTTAACATGGGTGCTCTTATATAAATTTCATTGATTCATTAACGTATTGTAGAGTAGGAAGAGCCTAACTAGTTTGCCTAGTCGAAAAATCTTGTGGTTTGATGTTTGGAGGGATGAAGATGCTAGTACTTACCACAGGTAAATATAATTATGGCGCGCCAGCTGTAGCATGGCGCCATACGAAGCGGATTATTATGACATTGCTACTCATCCACTGCGAACGATGATGACGTTCGAAGAAGATTATCATTAAGTTTAATAATTACCCGCTTCGAAACTGATTGTCATGGAAATGAAATATGGGACCGATTGGAAGTGAGATTCAAAATGGTTAGTCGTTGCCTTTGCGTTTAACTGTGAAATGGCGAAGAGTTGTCGTACCACCCGGCGACCGTTCAATGCAATAGTTGTTTCCCTCTTAGGTTGATTTTTGCATAAAAGGGTTATAAAAGGTAGAAATCAGTGAAATAAAAGGCTACTTCGGTCACTCTTCTACTTTAACTGTTGGCGCCAGTAAACAGAAAATGACCAAATGGCACTCCGTTCCGAATAACTCCGGTAACAAACGTAAATTTGATTAATTAAGTTGTCTTTTTTCGAAAATCTTAAGAGTCTGAACCTGTCTTAACTTGTAGTCATCGAGAACCATAAATGTTTCCTCTAACGAAATTCCAATTACTCCTAATACGTGAAATAGTCTCTTTCGCAGTCGTTCTTTGGGTTGTTATTGTCGGCCTTCCGCGCCATGTGTTCTTTACGCGCAAACATATAGCTGTTGCTATTTGACACAGACACAAACAATGCATTTATGCAAAAAAGCGACCAATCAAAACACGAACAGTGCGTATTTCATGTAAGTGAAAAAGAGCAGTCCAAGTTCAAGAGGAGGCAGCTAAACTGCAAGAGAAGAACGAACGACAGACACTGCTCTTCAGTTGACAACTTTGTCAAAGAGAATAATGTCCATTAATCGTCACGTTTTCAGAAGGATGTCTCGATGCCCATTGGGAATCGTATAGTTGTGTTTCTCTTTATTTTTGTGGTTATACCATCATATCCTCGCGCCGAAAGATCAGAATTGAGCATCATTGGTTTGAAGGTAAGAGCCAATCAGTTAGGTTACGTGACAAATAGTTTTAATCTAAGGGAAAATTTTAGACTAATTTCTACAGTTATTGATTGGAAGAACCCAAAGATAAATCTTTATTTTCTTCGCTTTCTTCTCTGAAATCTCTGCAATCATGTCAACAACTTACCTACCATACGCAATTTTTTCCATTCTTTTGTAATTATTCTAGTGGACAACATTTTACCAGTGTTATTCGTTAAAAATGTCCTAATAAAGTTTAATGTACTTGATACATTTGCTTCTTTTTGTTTTGTCAGACACAAACCCAGTTCAGTGCACAGAGGATGTTGCAGATGACGTTGTGGTTAAGAGAGAGAAGATGAAACAATGTTTGGTTCCGTGTAGTCACGTTTTGTGAAAAATTCAATTATGGAACATTTTACAAAATACTTAGTTAACTTTTAATCAAACCGTTCACAAACTCAAGTCAATGATAATCGTACCTACATGCAATTGTGCGGGCCAAAGGAACGACACGGTGTGTTAACTTTTTAGTGCCCTCTTTCCGCTTGTTTATGTTAATTTCTCGCCGGATACCGTCGGCTAAGCTAAATGAAACAATGATGTCATAGAAATTCACTGGAAGCCAGTGGATCGATGCATATAATGAAAGTCTATTTTGATAATTTCGTTTTCGGGAACTTTACTGAACAGGATCACATCTCTACAATCCTAGATCTTGTTTTCGACACTTTTACTATACTGGCACATAATTCGGAGTTTAAAGCTCTTAAGTAATATTTTCAGCATAAATTGACATAACGATGCCAACTCACATTCAGTCCATTATTAAAACCCTACCTGCAATATGTGAAACACGTTTCGTTAGTGGTTAAAACGGAAAGTTTTCAATATACGTCAGAGTCTTGTTTAAAACTAGATATACCTAGCCAGAACTTTCCAAAAAATATTTTTGGCTTGGTAAACGAAGCGAAATCAATTATATTGTCATTGCGACACTGTCCATATTACCTTGTTCCCGTCAACACAGGTTTAGCAACTTATGGAGTTCTTTCTATCTATGAGTTTTTATATTGTTCTTAGAAAATCACCAGTTACAAGCGAAAAATCACCGAGAAGAACCCCGGCAAACACATCAGTCACAGATGCAGCGTTTACGTTGCTTTGTGTGACTGTTGATAAGATTCGGGGATTCCCCTTCAGTAGCTAAAGTAAAACAATATGTTTGACCTAAAGTTCTCAGTGATATTAGCATATGTCACAGTGCCTTGACGCCCTCTTTGCTACGAAGAAATGGAATCCTCTGATAATCGAGCCTGAAACACATGTAAGTGAAGTGTATGAATGTGTTCTGAGAAGAAGAGAGTGTACAGGGAAAACTATTGGATTTCGACAATTAAGGAAGTCGACTACACTACCGAAGAACCCATATTTTGAGCACTCCTAGAGTGCTAATTAGGCACCTAATTTGTTGTGAAGAACATTAGATGCATTGTAGTCAAGTTTTCCAACCTCACGTCGCTTCGTTCGGTTGATTATCGCGTAGTGATATCTTGGAAACCTTTTCATAGTCAAAAGCGATACGAAACAACTAATTTAGGTTTCAAATTATTAATTATTGTCGTCTGCGTCGTCCATACTTGAATTCTCGGAAATGGGGTCGCGCCCTGACTGGTTGGAGTTTCGATTAGGTTTGTTATTTCAGTTACCCAGGTATCTAATCCTTATTCACACATAACACTGCTCTAACCGACTGGGCTTTAGTGTTGAGCAACGTTTTCTATGCATCTTAAACTAAAAGTGTTTCCTCGTAAGCTGTAGCTACGTAGCGACGTATTGAGGCGGAAGTAACACCTATGTCTTACTAGTTTATAAAAGCTCAGGTTACAAACTTGCTTCAGTTACCTAACGGAAGACGAGACCACTATTGACGAGTGAACAAACTCTGTTATAGCTCCTACTTCATCATCAAGAATGACCCTTCGAACCCTCGTTCACAGCCGCCAAAGAACATTTTTATTTCAAAAGTTTCTTCTTTAAACTGTGAGGAATTTGTCTTTACTACTTTCGTGTTCTAGTCATTATGTGTTGAAAATCGATTTTATAGGTAAATGCAAGCGCATTGAGACTTGAAATGCGTTCATAGAAACGTCATTATTATTATTATTATTATTATTATATTGCTAAATCATTTTTACTTCCACCTTCGTTTGTTTCCTACGAGGTAGATAACGTTATCTCGAAACCAAACGGTCTTTTATATAAAGCTGGTCTTTTATATAGACATTGAAGTGCCATATTGATGTACTAAAGCTAAGTTTGAGTATGAGATGATTCTATTTTAACTTGTTTCATTGTTAGTGCGAGTCACATTTAACATTTTCAGGAAAGGAAAGTCGTGTTCGTGTGAAGTTTGTTCGGACTGAATGATGTTTATTCAAGTAACTTAGGGGGTCTTTAAACACAAGGCCTAATCATCACCGGAATTCCTTCTTTCTTTCAAACATGTCACTTATTAGCTGATTTCAAATTCTTGTATCCATTTCTTCTAAGGGAGCCATCAACACCAACCTAGAAGGATGCAGCACTGATATCTCCTGAATGCCGGGATATACGTTGCCTATGAACGGCTCAATTGATTCACGCTATTTGTGTTTGCTGTGCAAAAACATCCTCAAAGATCCTGTCCAGACGGGTTGTGGCCATGTTTACTGCATCTCTTGTATTTCTCACCTCAAGGGGTAACTGAATCACTGATCATAATTTCAATAAATTTCGAAAAACAAGCCTAAACAAAGCCTTGTTATAAGAACTATGCAATGTAAAATAATCTCAAGGGTTCATGCACCTTTTGCAGATAATGTATGAAGGTTTTGGTTGACTGAGTAAGCGAGGGATTAGTGAAATCAACTGTGAGATCTTTTGCTCACGTGAATTTGCCTAAAGAACTGCTTACATTAGCATCATCATTAAAGCACCCAAATTTCAACATTACGAATTTTTCCATTGACAGGGATGATGGAACCTACATCTGTCTTGTTGACAAGGCACCCTTTGCGGAAGACCAGGTAAATTTGTAAGGACACGAATATGGAAACGATCCTCGCAGTTACGAACACTACTTCAGTACGCAGTGAAACTAAGGCCTGAAAAAATTCAGGCCCGTGCGGGATTTGAACCCATGACCTCTGCGATACCGGTGCAGCGGTACCAACTGAGTTAACAAGCCAACTGGGAGCTGGTCATTATGTTGTCATATACGCTTCCATATTCGTTTCTTCAACCACAGTTCACACGTATGATTTCACATATTCACAGTCATTTATTGCAATGACACATTCTTAACATGAATAGATATTGTTGGTGCTAAAGGATACCATAATAATCAAGCCCAAGACCTGCTTTGATAACATTTTTTAACGGAAAACGTTTCTTAATTTGTATGCAGATATTCCCCGACAACTTTATGAAGCGCGAAGTTCTTTCCCTCGTAGTCACGTGCCCTAATTCACCAGATGGCTGTAAGTGGAAAGGAGAAGTGAGATATATTGAGGTAAGTCAGAGTCAGAAAAGTCAAAGAACCAATCACAATACAATTCGCAAGTAGGATTTACCATCCGATAAAGTAAGGATAAAGTCTGAATTTCATCGGTTGAGAAGGGGAACCAATTCTTTGGAAAAAAAATGAGGCAATGGCGATCGAAATTGCTATCTTTTTTACCTGTAAATCATAAGCCTTCATATTCCCTACTAATCTCCTCTCGAACCCTAGTCTATTGTTTTTCGATGCGTTCTGCCGAAAAAAAAATTAACTTTTCCCAGCCACGCACACCGGTTGGCAAAGAGACTAAAACTACCGAGTTGTTCATAGTGTATTCCTACCACTACTGCAAAACTATATCACGCGAGGAAAAAGTCAAACAGTACACAAAGAGCGGCACTATAATTTTCTTTTCCTTCTTGTGTAGAAACACCGATCTACCTGCCCTGAGGAAAGAGTAAACTGCTCTAACTGTAACTGTCAAAAACGTGTGAAAAGATCCGATCTTCAGCGACATCAGGAACATGAGTGTCCGTATCGCACCCAACAATGTCCGTTGTGCGGTGATTCCATGACTGCTGCTGTTCTTGAGGTCAGTTTGATCACCCTCTAAAGTTACTTTTACCGCAATAACTCTTCTCATTCAGGCTTTTTTTAAATCATACGGCCAGTTTAGTTTAGTTTGTTACAGGGACAACAACATAAAGCCGTGCTTTTCATATATGCGTATGATTAAAATTAACTCTAAACCATTTGTAATAAGTGACAAGAAATGGCCAACTCCTTTTAACATGTCGAGTGCGCCTCTTTCTTTATTACCAGTTTTCCGCGAACACTTGCATTCATACGTACCTTTATTGAATCATCCTCAAAGCAAATGGATTCTCATCAAAAACTAAACAGATGTTAACAAAAATTGTTCCGATCCTCGTTCTTGTTTGTTATTCACTTCTGTTCTTGTCTCGATTCCAAATTTTTAGACTCATCAAATACAGGATTGCAAAATGTATCCCATTCAATGTCCCGGATGTGGCAAAGAAGGAATTCCGCGAGGAGAGGTAGCCATGTTTAAAACGTCATCCAACTGCGTACACATTTCTTCTGGTGGACAGCCAAAACAGTTGAACTAAATCCGAGTATTACTTTAAGAGATTTATCTCAAAGCTAAGGGAGAAGTTTTACCGTATTCGTGTGAAGCGCTACATTTGTATCAGTATGTGTCATTTTTGCTGTTGATCTATTTCATTTTTGTAGTGCACCAAAATCTGCAGAATTAGATCGTACAACTTAAGTGTCCACCTTTTCTTTGAAAAAAAACAATAAACCAAATATTACACTGCTCTTCTAAGACACGGAAATTTAAAGAAACCCTTCTGAGTTGTCGTCCTGGGCTTATAACTAAGATTTTTACCGTCCCTTCAATCCTCATAGATGGATAGCCATGTTAATCCCATTCATGGTGACTGTGAGGCAGTCGAGAGGACCTGTGCATTTCAACAGATTGGTTGCAGCAACAACAAGGTTCGTATCATCTGAAGATTTTACCTAGTTGCCTTTTAAGAACTATTGAAATAAAATTTATCCTTCGTATGGGCAACCTGCCGAAGTGATAATAAAGTTTCCCAACATTTCACTATTCGAAACACTAGTGTATCAACTGAAGTCCCCTTCAAAGCCGTTTTATTGAGATGTCTAACGTCTTCAAAAACGGCTGCAAAATATATTCAACCGGGGACACTAAATCTACGAAAGTTGCAATAAAAGCATCAAAAAAGGCAAAGACGATTTGTCAAATAGAAATTTCGTTTCGACACAAACCAACTACCAATAATCAGGGATGATTTTCTTAAACCCCTGTACGAACAGAAAATGAAGCAATCCGAGGTCAAGAAACATAATGAGCTGAGTGCAATTTTGCACTTAAATCTACTCTTGACGAGTGTTCTTCGGCTAGAAGAGCAAGTGAAAAGTCAGCTCTCTATGGGTGGTGCATGGGGTGGTGGCACCTCCGATCAGTGGATGAGACGATCGGAGATGACCATCGCTAACGCCATATCAAGCATCGACACAGTGGTACGCGAGCAAACCGACTTACGACAGAAGCTAAAAGATAATTCTATGAGACTTGTGTCGATGGAAAAAAGAGTTTCAACTCATAGAGACCAGTTCCCACAATCGGCAACTTTCTCTTCGTTACAACCTCTCCCCATTTCGGACGAGATTTCACGACGTCTCACAAATGCCGAAAATGGCACCAATAATATCGAGTTCTTGGTAAACGAAACAAGGCGTGAGTTGAACGAAGTCAGACAAGAAGTATCGTCTGTTAAACGCCAATTGGATGGCGCGGTGGACAGTATTAGACGACTCGAACGAAGAATGGAGTCTGTAGAACATAATTTGGCGCTCAGAAATGTTGTTTTGTCTGATATCGAAGAACATGTTCAACAGCAGCAAGTTTCTACATATAATGGGATCTTACTCTGGAAAATATCGGATTTTGCACGTAAGAAAAATGATGCCATAACTGGGCGAGAGGTTTCAATATATAGCCCGTGCTTTCATACCAGTCAGCATGGTTACAAAATGTGCGCGCGACTTTACTTAAACGGTGATGGAATGGGTAAAGGAACCCATCTGTCGCTGTTCTTCATTGTCATGCGTGGAGACTACGATGCATTACTCCGCTGGCCATTTAGACAGAAGGTGACCTTCATGCTGTTGGATCAAGATAACGTAGAGCACGTGGTTGATGCTTTCAGACCCGATCCAAACAGTTCATCTTTCCAAAGGCCGCGAAGGGAATCAAACATTGCGAGTGGGTGCCCGATGTTTTGTTCTCTATCGGAGTTAAATAACCACGCCTATGTGAGAGACGATGTTATGTTCCTGAAGGTTATTGTAGACACAACAGATCTCTGAAAATGTCGGAGCTTTGAGTGAGGGCAAGGAAAAAAGGGTAGAGGTAGCTAAGAAATATCCATAAAATTCAATCGTTTCATGAAGAAAAGGTGAGTAGTTTCTGTGAAACTATGCAGCGAGAGAAAACAGAGTAAGAAGAAAACATATTCCATAACATTCGACAAATTTTCCTTGACAATCACTGATGTGTGGAATACGCTATTAGTTCTTACAATTCAGTAATTGTAGAAACGACTTGAAATCGATAGAGTAGTCCTCTGCAGGAAAAGCGCATGCGAAAGTTATCTAAAGAAATGTAGTACAAATGCAAGATGGATAACTTTGCAAACTGCCATACAAGCATTCGTTTGAAAGTGCTTTCACGTAGGACCCCTTTTGACATTCGATAGAGTCTTCTATGGTCCTCGTTGCACTGAAACAGGATTCTGTTGTAGTGTATGAACACTCCACGAGAAGGTTTGTGTGAAGCCAACTAATTAAGTCGTACTTGATGCGGCATCAACAGTGCGGATTCGATTTTGTACATTCCCTTTAGAACTTTTATCCAGCATTTTACCGATCACATATTTCTTGAAAGTCTTCAGCAATTTACGGAAGTATTTTCCGAGCTCTACCGCAGAGAGAAAAAGTAGCGGAAGCCGGGAGAGCTAAAGCCTATGGGTTCAAAGTGAGCCTGCGTTATAAAGATGACAATTGTTTTGAAGCACTGAGTAATTTGTGTGTAGAGGATATTCAATATTATACACCACTTTTGCACGACCAATGGGGTGGCTGACCTTAGCTAAACTCGCCGGTGATTCCAGTTAGAGCCTGATTTAATTACACTGAGAAACTCCTTTAATCGATATTCTATACACCATATCAACCGTCTGTCGAATTATACTAGAATAGTTAGAATGTACGTTATTTTTGCGTGTAAGGAAGTCGACGTGTCATTGCAACGTTTTTACCTTATGAGACAGTCTCATAGTTTCAGTAGTTCATACTACCATGAAATTGCTTATTTGTTGCCCTTGTTTTTGTTGTTGTTGTTGTTTTTCCCCCATAACTTAAAACCCATATATAAACCACTCGAAGCCAGTTGTTTCGGTGGGAAAGCCTTTTTGGATATTTCAACCAATAACATGATGAGCGCGATGACCGAGACTTCTCACCAGTAACGGCGACTTTTTGCCATTTTTCATGAGAATTTTTTATTAATATCTGATAAATTTTCAACAATAAGCCAACATTTTTCAGAACAATAAAATTCACACGTTTTATTACTAAGCGTTTAAAACGAGTGAAATATGAATTGTTTTTATCTTTACTATCATCATCATTATAATTATTGTTCTTATTATTATCACTATTATTGTGTTTATAGTTAAGAATTTATTGGTTCGAAATTCCTATCATTCACAGAAATAGACAGCGATTGATCTAGTTGCTTTCGAAAAAGCAAAGTTTCTTAAATCTTATCAACAGGGCAGATTCATGTCTAATTGAATAATAGCTTATCATAGGTGCCACACTTTTTACTCGATATCTATAGAAAACTAGATAGTAAGTAGCATAGCCAATAGGATTGCAGCATCTTTCATAGAACGGTGGTAGATTTATGTCATTTATTATCATTAGAACTTTTATAATTATTTTCATTATTCTCGTCACTGCACTGAAAATAGGCAGTGACGACGTTCTGCTTTCGACTGATCAAATATAATCAACTAAAGTGATAAAAGACAACAAAAAAGATTAAGGTCTGGTAAGAATAGTATACATTCCTCTAAGAAACTAATAAAACCAGTCGAACTCGTTTTATAAACATGACGAGTAACAAAATAGAAAAGAAATTGAATTTAAAAAGACAACGATAATTGTTATTATGTTTCCTCTCTAAAAGAGGATTAAAAACCATACATGCAAACAAATAAATGGAGTTTGAAATCGTTCATCACTAGAATTATTTTCCGCTGAACTTGGCCATGGTTTGTTTACTGTTACAGTCCATTTCGATAAACTTAGGGTCCTAGATATTTGTGGTTAGAAAATTATTATTTAAAATTTACAATATATACCTATATATAGAGAGGGTACTAGTTTGAGCACTCTGGCATGGCTTAGATGATACACAAGTGTGGGATCATTTGGGGTGGCTATATAGCTTTACCTCAATCCAAGCATCAGCACTGCACTAATGAGACCCTGATGACCGAAACAGTACTGTCTAGAGTTAGATAGATGTAAATGTTTGTTCATTTAAAATTTTGTAGATTCATGCCATAAATTCAAGTACATAGTTTTAACTTGGAAATATGCAATTTCAAAAGAACTCTAAAAAATGACTATAAGTACTAGTGTTTTAAGAAAAAACTGAAAAAAAGCAAAATATATTGTCGAATTTTCTTGTATATACATGTAAACATCACTATATTACATCATTAAATCGTTGTGATTGTTTGAGATGTGATAATAACTGCAATATTCGCCATCTTATTAATGTTCCAATTTTGATGACCATGTGCTATGCACTACAATCGTCTCTGTTAAGTTTTGTCGTAGTAAACAAAACACGTGAACATGAAAGTTACTACACTTTTCGCAGAGTGGAAATACCAATTTAGGCAACTGCGAAACAGGAGAGTATGACGCTATGAGACTGCATCCCCCATAAAGGCCTGATCCTTCAGTAATACCTCTTTAAGCTATTGTTAGATCACGCAAGTTTTCTCCAAGATCTCAGCAGGATCTAGAAATAGCCATCAGGAGTCGCAATTTGCTCACATGGATATCACGTGCGACGTCTGTTCGTGCTCTGACACGCGAGACGAAATATTTTGAGTCTAAGATGATCTCTTACGTTGAATTTAGTCTCTTAACTTGATCTTCTCCTTTGGGTGTTGAAAGGACCCGAATTTTTCGACCAGGCCCTGAATTCTTGGCTTCTCCTCATGGTAATGACTATAGAGTAGCGACTACAAAGCCCTGATTTTTCTCATTTTTTGAGCTCCTTTGTCCAATTGCGTGAATTGGTAATTCCACCGCTAAGAAACAAGGCACTGTATTATAACATGCTGCATCCTTACACAACAACAATTTTAATAATTACTTAAAATAATTAAAATATTGTAAATATTCAAATGAATGTTAAGTTTGTGATTTTTTTTTCCAACTGTTGCTTAAGAATTACTTAGAGTTTTCATTGAGCGCTAAAAATTAGTTCAACTAAGAGAAAAATTAAACAAAAATAAATTTCCTTACTGTATTTTATCTCATAGTTTTGTCAGCTGTTATACTTTCAACGAAAGGAATGTCTATAAACATATGTACCCTACAATTCTACGTCCCTTTAGAGTCATTTTTCACCAAGCTGTCAGTTCTTTTCAAAAGACACTAGAAAAACTGAGCACTGTGGGATATCGTCTGAATGACCTATCTACAGTTCTAATAACCCCTGCTTTGAGTTTTTTCTTTGATTGCACCACTGTTTCCTTGTTTGCAGTCTGTCTGTAATTTTTTTTTCTTGCATTATAAGGGCACCATGTCACTACCGTACCTATTTACTGCTGTGATTCAACTAAGAAACCATGGAAATAGCGCCTCGAGTTGAAGTATGATGTTATCTCCACAATATAAGCGTTTTCCAAAGACTTAATTAAAGGCAGTCGATGCTGCATGTACATTTTTCCGAGGATGGCAGCTAAAATATCGCACTACCACAAAGGCACCTTACAGTACAATGTTCAAGACTTTGGCCGACGCTGTTTTTGCCAACAAAATTCTTCGTTTCAGTGCACAAACAATAGCAGTAATACATCTTTCGACCACAGTCAAGTTCTTGCATGTTTGAAATTAGTCATTCACCTGCTTTAGATTTGGAATTGTACAAATTCCTACCAAACATACTGCATTTAACTTCGACTCTTCTCCACCTATTCACAAAATAAACACTTTATAGGATTTCAAACTGAGATCCTGGATCAACAAGACAATAACTAAGAGGTTTCTGGGGAGGGCAGGTCGAAGTTTAACTCTCTTATTGCATACTGCAAACCTCGCACAAATCGTGCGCCAATCTTGTCCCACTTGTACCAACCACGCGCTATCGTTCTGACAATTGTTTGCCAGTTTTGACTGAACCTTACGCAAACGGTATCCCTCCTCAGAAATGTCTGCCATTTTTCCCAGCACAAAAACTTGCACAAATGCTAGCACAGCGGCACAGTGACTAAGGTCTGCATTGGTAATGGTAAGGTGATAGATCTTCGAATGTTCGCCAGCAAGGGGGAAGGAAGACATTTTCTGTCTCCTCCTTTAAGTGAAAGCCACAGCCGACACACTTAATGGAGAAAAGAGCTTGAAAGCTGTTCAGCCATTTCTGAAGGACAAAATCAAAAACGATCATGCAAGTTTCGTTTTTGTACCGATAGATCAATCTTAGGAGTGTGCGCTTCAGGAAGTTTCCTTATTTCACTTCCAGCTCTACATTTGCGAATGGCTCCTGATCATATATTTGTCGCCTTTTACTGGCACTTGATATCAATTTGGTTTTGGTTTCACCACAATACTCTTCAAAGAACAATCACACTTACATTTTCGTCAACTCAGGCGTAAAAAATTGCATCCATTGAGTTCAAGCTGCGATGTTTTCACCATAGATATCTGAAAATAATCTCCTTAAATTTTAAAACTACCCTACCCTTAGAACTAATGCCAGACAAAAAATTAGACTTAACTTACCAGTAAGCCTCTCACTTGAGATGTAGGATCACTTGGGGAGTAATGGTGTAATACAACTGATGTTGCATAATCTGTTATCTGTTGGATAACAATTGCATGTGAGCCATCAGATATCGCCCAATGGCAGTATCACACAAGGCATCCGCTAATTATATATGTACATGAACTCTTCCCAGATCATGGGTGCTCATTTCTTATTCCGTAATATCACTCTTAGTTCGCTTCTCTCTTCTGTCATTTACCCCCCCTTTCCCACCCGTGGATTTCAGCAAGGGAGAAAATGGCCTCGGTCTAACGTACACCTTCCCCTTGATGCAGCTTTGCTTGTTCTGGCAAACAACAAGATGATTTTGTATATTTCTGTATGATTGTCATTTCTTAGTGCTTATAGGAGAGTGGTTACTGATTATAGGAGAGAAGGACAAGATTATTCACTTTTGTGCAAAAATTTTGTCGTAAAAAGTAATGTCACTTAATGAGCTTTAAAACAAATAAATTCTATGCACGATACATAGAGATAATCACCTTTCTGAAGACAGCATGAGCTGACTGAGACCATGATTCCTACGAGGAAAATGCATTCATTGAAAAAAAAAACATAAATTGATCCAAAGAAATATTTCAAGTATTACCATTTTGTGGTTTCTAATTCCTGGATGTTAAAATTCACCATCGTGGATTTGGTGAGTTTCACACTAGCTAATTTGCTAATGATCGACTCTAAGCTGTATTTTAGTAAAAGTGAGGCTTGGATTACATGTTGCACAATGAAATTGTACTATAAAATTGGATAAAGATGAATTTAAATGTAAGTGTTCAGACGTAAACACTGTGTATTACACTGGACTCCTAATACCCTATGCCAGTCTCTTGGTCAGTGGAAGCAAATGAAAAAGTAGGCACATGAAAAAAATGACATGGTTCAGGCAAGGAAGGAAAAAGAAGGAAGTGAGCCTGTAATACTTGTTTGCCACCAACCACTAACAGGGAGGCTACCACAAGCTAACTTCAACTGGAAAAATACATGTGTGTGGAAAATTCTAATAACACTTACTTGTGCTTTGGATATTTTCTATTATTCAATGTGACATTGGCTGTGTTCAAATTTGATTCAGGGGATATTTGAGAGGGCTTGCCTTCCAGTCTTCTGGAAAGGGGGGGGGGGTTTAATTGTCTACCATGTTAAACAATGGACCAACCTTTTTTCAAGTAAGTAAATTCCACCGAACTGTGAGTAAAAGAAATACTTTTAAAGGTTGATCAGCTATTTACCTCCTTATCCAGGAGCTTGCTCTCCTGTATTCCTCTTATTACGACTTGGTCAATTTCTGACATATTGCGAAGAATCATTGTCGCTTTCAATGTCTTTGGTACAACAACCTAGGAAACATTATTAAAGATCTCCTTGAGTTTCACTCAGTACCACATTTATGTAAGGGCAGTCAGAAAAAGTTCTACTTATTCCTGTGCTTAAGTTGTACTTCAATCAAGTAACACAAACATTACAAATGCAATTTGAGTGAAAAAATATAAATAACAAGACTTGCACTGCTAATAACCAATCACATTCAAGAATACTTATATGTAGGTTTTAATTTGTACTCTTATCAAATTGACTTCAACACTTCATAGAGACTGTTTTAGCATAGGCTGGACACAAAACTCTTCATACCTCAACAACAGGAGCTCCATGCGCCATTGATGTTGACAGCTCTAAGCAAGGATACAAAGACTTGCTTTCACTCAAAGCTTTTTGAATTTCCCTGCAACATTGTGAGTAATCAACAATCAATCATAATCAATATCGTACATGTTGCAAAGTTGTTCACCTGCCCACAAATATGACTTTGTCCATTATAACATGGCAATCCATCACACTAAATGAAATGGCAGACTGAAAATATCTTGTCAATCCAACAGGCCAAATCCAACATAGCAAAAGCTACATTTTTGTAAAAAACTACCCCTGGAAATTACTTTAAACATTGTGCAAGTTGCATTTCAAGATTAAATAGATTTATAGAGTTTAGTTTGCAAAAACATTTACCCTCGTAGGAACTCCCTTGAGTTTGCCTTTGCCTTCTTTGGAGATGGTGAAGAACGATCTGAACCATGCAAGGGATGATGTCTTTTCAAACATGATAATGCCTGTTGAGCCTCTGAGGTCAGCTAACATATAAATTAAAATAAAACAACAAAAGACGTTATTTCTAATAGTGCTGTAAGAGATTGTATAATCATATGCACCTGCACAATGTAAATTTTCACTCCCAATTTTAGTGCAGAAACATTCACTGATTGAAAGGTTGATGTGACATTGAATGAGCTCTATTTGATCTTGACTTGGCTCAATCAATAACTTAAAGACCATTTGATACTGAGACAATATAAACTGAACAACTTAACTTAATGTATCTCTTCATTTGAGGGATAATTTTCATTTCTCTGGTCTTGTACTGCAATAATATGATGTTAAAGCCTGTATGCATCAGTCACTAAAACTGAATTATCATTAATACCTTCTCATGCCAGTCATATGTGTCTAGAACCTTGTCATACAGAGCAGTCTTGTCTTCAATAGGATCCAAGCTTAATAATCCTGTATTTCCCAAAGAAAGAGAGCCACTTGATGATGTTGGTAGACCCTCGCATGTTTTATCCAACTCACTGGCAAATTGAAACATGGCCAATCAAAACACTTGAGCATTCTTTGTTACTTTAGTTAACAAAATTAACTTTGTGACTTTGTAATTTAAACTTAAGATGGAGGAGACCTGTCAAATACATGTAATATATACATTCTTGAGATTCACACTGAAAGCTAAATTTCTACATATAACAAGCAGCTTCCTTATTCTTTTAAAGTTGATTTTTATTGGTGACTAAGCCTGACTCAGAGTCTAATTCATAAGATGCAACCAAGTGAAAATCAAATCAACAGAATCAAAAGAAAAATACTTACTACTCTGTTGCTTATGATTCAGCAAAAACTACAGTAAATTGTCTGAGTGGTAAGTGGAAGACTGTGCTGGAAGGGCCTGAGAACTGTTATTATGATTGGGTGATTCTTCCTAGTCTGCTTCTATCTCCAACAATCAAGTTTTAACTGATCATAAACATCAGAGTCATAAGTAGTCTAATCCAAAAACATGAAACCAATCTGATTCTCAATACTCCAAATCTGCCTAGCTTATAACTCTGCTTATGACTTCGACTTTCAATTTTCACCAGCTGGAAGCACTCTTACAACTCTGATGACTCTGACTACAACTCTGACTCTCACTCTGTGGCCAGTAGACACCAGCCTTACATTCCCTTGTTACCGGCCCTAGTTTACTGTTTTTGCATTTCTTGATTTGAGGGAAAAAGTTATATAAGGAAGTATATTTCACAATCTTAGGAGGTACTTGAAATAAGAGAAAAATGCCAAAATTACTTGTTTTAAAAATCATTGTCATTTTGGGATGTTTTAATTACTATATGCCCTTGTTTTAAGCAAAGAAGTTAACTTATATTCTAAATTTTAAAATCAGGATAAGATTCTTTGAAAATCAATGATTGGAAATCTAATGAATCAATCAGTTTCCATAGATGCATATCAGTTAATTGTTATCAATTGGTATCATACAATCAATGAACAATTGATAATGACATGAAAGTGATTTGTGTTTGTCATTTATCAGATGAGCGATTGGAAAGAACATTTCTCTCCACAAAATATCTTAACTGCTTTCACCTTCTGCATCAGGAGAGTGACCACTAGGTGGCAAGATGTGTGCTGTTGTGTGAGAATGCCATTTCCTGTTATAAATCTGAGTAGACTTCAAGTACACGTGATTGAAGTTCACTTGAAATTTGGTTTTCATAGTATTTCTTTTCTGTTGGTGATGAAAATCGACTATAATCGATAATCGATGAGAATCGAAAATCACAGAAACTTTCAAGTTCGGTTGTTTATTGATTATCAATATCAATCGATTCATTGTTATCGATTTTCACCAATCATCGATCTCATCGATTGTTCGGGTCCTGTCACGTAGTAGCTCCCAAATTTCAATGGAAGTTTTAATTTTCTTTCGCTTAGTTTGCGTAGAAAGCGGGTACTTCTTTATGTTTTTTTACGTTTTCTTTACAAATTTTGCGCAGGAAATTTGCGCCCAGCTGGCTAGAATGGATCCCTTCGTGCATGTCTGACGTTTGACATTGATGCTAAGTTTTACACACTACGGAAATGCAAAAGCTGCTCAGTACTTATATCTGTTTTCTTTTCAACTTAGTGTTCGAAAAACATTTTTAAGCGACCTTGTAGAGTATGAAATAATTATTTCAGCAGCAGTTGCAAATTATGGGGATAAATCGGTCTTAACTAGAGCGTACCTTAAAACCTTGTGAACTTCGGTGAGATTCTTCTTTAAAAGTCGGGTGATATTTTCACCTTTACTAGACTCTAAGGATTCTGATTTTTCTCTTTTCACTCCAGGAGAAGCTGCAAGATCTTGAAATACTTTTCTCACGGTTGTTCTTAAGTTGTTTGCAGTTAAAATGCATTCATCAATACTCTTCACTTTGTCCGCCATTTTGCACTAAATACGACAAGAGTTTCTGTAGTTTCTGTATCTTAGTCTTCGAGGGAAATCCGCTGAGCTTAGATTAAGGGAGTGATCTGGGAACGAGGAAAATAAAGTATACCATTTTACTAATCAATTTAGGTACAAATTTGTGAATATTTCCCTTCAAGAGAGCCAATATGAATATATAATTGCATTTCTTCAACCAGATTACCTTAAATATGTATCTTTATGGATGATATGTCACGAGTAATCTTTCAATATCTCCGAAGAGTGAAAAGTTACTGTACAATGCGGGCTCGTTTACTTTCATCAATTACTAATGCCATACGCCTGGTAGAAATCGTACCAATATGAAAAGAACCATCGACACGATGGTTGGTGGCTCTTAAAAATGTTGGACCTTTGGCCGTTATCCGTCTTTTACCGTGTATATTTTGGAACTATGAAGTTCAAAGAGCGTTTTGCGTTTTGTATTTGTATTGTTCTTCTTGTTATTCCATTCATTTGGTTACGAATGCGCGCGGCGGACGAAAAGCATCCATTGTTGTTTTCTGTTAGTAGTCAGAATTCACGATTTCTTGCGGATGAAACGGATTATAACGGAATTGATCATTCTCATGTCAATATACAACGATCAGAGGAAGGAACAAATCATCTCAAAACGAACCGAAAAGATGTGGATCGATCGCTAGAAAAAAGATCTGCACCTACGGTTACGAATCATGAGGACAAGGACGGTGAAAAGAAAGTAGAGAAAAATATTGGAAAAAATAACGATATAGACTACGAATTTGATGATCCCTGGTCTATATGGGAAAACATGGTAAAGTCACGACAAATAACGTCTCCAGACGATGTAGATGGAGTGAATATGATACTAGAGGGCATGATGTATAAACCGATTGTGGCGGCCAACGTTGGCGTTAGAGGGACGCAGTTAAAAGCCACCTTAACTCTTGAGGGTAAACAGAGAGTAGTATTTAAGCCAATGCGGTAAGAGTGAGAAGCTATAATGCACTGAATAATAATAATAATAATAATAATAATAATAATAATAACAATAATAATAATAATAATAACTATTAAAACCCTTTATAGGGTCAAAATGGCTCTCAAATGATAGATTCTTGTTGTGAAGTGGCTCACTTGAGTGGCAATGTTAATACAATATCAACATCTTTATTTTTCTTACTTTGAAATGCTCTATGGGGCCAATGTTTTATAAACAAAGTATGTTAAAATAGAGCTGAATAGAGTTAGAAGGCTAATGGGTCTTTTCATATACATGATCAATGAAGAATGAAGAACGTTTGAGCATCAGACTGAAAAATTTGTTTGGCTTTGATCACATGTGTCTCTCTAGCTTGATCTAAAACAAGGCTAGATCAGGCCTGAAGCTATCCCAAAGATGGGGTAACCATCCCACATTTCTCTCATGCACCAAATTTCAAAAATCAAGGATGAACTTTTATAGCATCACACCTCACCTACAAATTAATTTCTTATTATTTAAGTACTATTTTTAGTAGTATTTTTTTGTTGCTGTTCATTTTAATTCAAAGAGGATGGTAGTCAATGTAATCCAACCAATGTGATGCCAGTGCATCAGTCATTTGCATTGATTGGAACCACACTCACACTACTAAACATCAGAAGAAAAATTAATTTGCATTAGGGTTAAAAGCTTCTCAACTGAAGTGTTAATCAAGACATGTATGTACTTAGGCTAAATATTGCATTTGATATTGAGAGTATCATCTAAAATAGGCCTAGGTGAAATAAAGCAAAGTCAGATTGATTTACAATTTATGTTTTCTTCAGGTACCGCAGAGATTTTATAGTAGAGGGAACTCCATATGCTGGTTTTGATAGACACAATGGAGAGATTGCTGCATTTCATTTGGATAGGTAAATCATAAAAATGTCGTACAATCCAGTTGTTGCTAGACAACCAGATCTTGGCTCATAATCCACTAAAACCCCATCACATTAAACACACTTTGTATGGAGATGTTTATCTCATGCCATCCATCTTGGACACAAACACAGAAACTGATGACTAAATATACTTTTTCATGGAAAATTATGTAAATAAAAGTGAGAAATAACTAATGATAGTGATAAACAAATGATGAAAATTATGATAGTAACGATTTAAATATCAGTAAAAAATATTTCATTAGTAATAATTATGAATTATAATTATGTTGTTACCATTGTTATTATTATCATAATAATTATTAAACAATACAAGATGTTTAGTTTAGTTTTGGATCTAGTGGAAATTGAGTTTTGGTAGCTATTTATTTTCTTGATTATTTTGGGATTAAATTCTGATCACACAATCATGAAATCAATTTTTCTTACTATCAATTTATTTTTGAAGAATTTTAGGTTTCTACCGGGCACCACCAGTTGTTGGAAGAAAAATAAACTTAGAAGATGAAATAGAACCAATTGGAGACAAGAGGCTTCTGGACACATTCTTTAAGAAAGGTAAGGTAGCTTTCAACTATTTAAAGAAACTGAGAGGGGAATTTTCTAAACATGTCATGTTTCCTTTTCTTTTTTTGTTAACAAACTCAAGCTCAAAAATGTATATAACTGAAGTATCTGCATTGTGTCTTTGATAAGCTCTAGTCTACCTCTCATAAATTGTAATTTCCTTGCCAAGTGTATAAGTAAATACTGCTTAATATGTAGAGTAAGCTAATTATTGATTTAAAATTTGTAATGCAAGTAGGGTAAGCAGCATATAATTGGTAATGCAAGCTAGTTTAAGAGAAAAATCCCTTCATAAGTATTCTTAAACTTGAGTATTGATAGATATAAATAGAAATAGGGTTTGTATAATAAGTAACATAAGCATTGTTAGTATCGTAATTATTGTAAAGACAATTTCAGAAAAAAATGTTTTCTTGTAATGATCCATAAATATGAATCAGTTAATCACAGAAGACTTAGCAATCTACAGCTGTAAATCCTACTTAATGTAACCCTTCACACCCTAACATCAGTATCCATTTTCTCCATAATGTTCTTTATACCTTTGTTTGGTATTGAAAAGGAGAATTTGTATGACAATCAAGAACATCATAAATTTGTGATCATTTTCGTTATTCTTATGGCCTTTAAATTTGATTTAAGGGTGGTACTGTAAGGAGAAATTAGATGCCAGTTGCTCTTAGTGGTTGAAGGGTTAAATGAATCAAAATGATATGGTGATTGTTGTTTTTCTTTCAGATGGAAATACTTGCTTCTATGGCCAATGCTACTATTGTAACAAAAAGGATGCTGCCTGTGCCAATGGTACAATCATGGAAGGCTCAGTAACACTGTGGCTACCAAAAGGATGGAATCTTGGAAAGTGGGCACATCCTTGGATAAGAGCATACAGTGGCACCAGAAAGGCTCTGTGAGTGAATTGTATGATGCATCTTGTGTATAGTCCCTAACATCAGTATGCATATTCTCCATACTGTTCTCTATATATTTCCTTGCTTACAGGGAGAATTTTTTTAACAATCTGAGGCTTCTTTAGTCGATGATCATTTCTTTGATTCTCTTGACCTTAATGTATGGTTCAGGGGTGATTTGTGAAGAAAAATTAGGCGGTTGTCACTCTTTGGGCTTAAAGGATTTATTGTATGCAAAGGAATGACTGTTGAAGTCATGAGGAGAAAAGTGTTGGGAAACGGAAAGAAATAAAGACATCTTACTATTTTCAGAAAAACAAACCATTGGGAAAAAAACTTGTCTTTTTGGTATGGAGTTAGGTCCTTGAGGGGTGAGCTCATGGGGACAAAGGTGTCAGGAAATTGGAAGAGAAAGAAACATCTAAATCTTTGAAAGAAGAAAAAAAGGAGCTAAACTTGTCATTCTGGTTTCTTGCATCTGTATATCTGTACATAAAAAAAATGACATACCAGTGTGGTGCATGTTAGTGGCAAAGTTGTTTGCAATTCTCTATCAAGAATTCAACACATATTGAACAGAGAAAAAATTGAACCCCTACCGATGGTTATCTTTACACAGATGGGAGACTGACAATAACTACTGCAAGAACAAGGTTTTGAACAAGCCTCCATATAATTTTGGTCCTCGCTTGTTAGATCTCTTGGACACAGCACTGTTTGACTTCATAATCGGTAGGTACCTCTTGGCTGACAGTATTCATTTGGTATTGTCTGTGAGGGAAATGGTGGGCATTTGGTGCCGCTCATGCTCATCAGAAATCTTACAACAAAATAAGAGCCAGATCTTTTTGTCTTTTTACACACTATTATGTCTCAGTAAATGTATTTACTGAATTCTAGTTGACTGATTTCGTGTAATTTACACGCATTTTGCACATAGTCTAGCATCTTTTGTTACGCGTAGGTGCGTGTAGTGACGCGCAGTGTTCGTGTTTCGTGCGTTTAGTGTGTGGTAAGTGCACGTGAGTTGAGCCCGTGTAATGCTATCGTACGTTATAGCGGCACTATAAGTAATGAGGGTTTGCGTTAATTTAGCGTATTTTGATCAGTAACTGGAGTAGAGAATGTGCACTATTCTTTCAACTAATCACATACAAAAACTAAAAGTATTTTGGCTTGGTCATCCGCGTTTTCCTCATTTTTATGAATCTACCTTGAGTTCTCGTTTTGTTTCTGTGATTACTTCCCTTGTTCCAGAATGATCCATTCCAGCTTCAATTGTTCGAGTTCTAATTAATAATCCTTGAATATTGAATATTTTACGCTATTGAAAACTTAGAAAAATTCGAATCTATGATTCATTAGGCAATGCAGACAGGCATCACTACGAAACCTTTAAAGACGAGGGAGACACTGGAATGCCACTGCATCTGGATAATGCTAAGAGGTATGTGTTTTGCGATGAGTCGTTAGAACTTTATAGAGTTCACTGATCTGTTTATTTTATAAGTTCATCATTGTTTTAGAAAGACAAAATCAACAGACACAGTAAGCATTTCATTTCTTAACAGTGTGTAACAAGTGACAACTTATCCAAAGCGAAAGACATTCCTGAAGGTTGCCAGCCTAAGCTGTTATCTTAATATGCCAGCCCAGGAGTACACCTTTGTTTTATTTCTTCCGCTTGCGTGGTATAATTTACCATTTCACATTAACATGAAGTGATCTAAAATGAGGGGAATTTTATTATCCTTTTTTTTTCCTCTTTCAGCTTCGGCGATCCTTATCGCGATGAAATGTCCATCTTGGCTCCTATCTATCAATGTTGCAGGTAAGAAGGAAAAGAGGCATCTTAGATGAAATTAATATCTAAATTTGTGTGAGAAATATAAGTGGCCTCGTGATAACACCTCTTTCTCTCTCGTTAATAAACCACCGTTTCTTTCAAAGGCCCATAAAGTTTCTTTCTCCTGCTATCTCTCCCTGTTAGAGCCCTACAGGCTGTATATCTGCTCAGTGAACTCGAGAAATTGACCAATCAGCGCTTTTGCTTGGATTTACTGATTTCGCTAATAGTACTAATAATAATAATAATAATAATAAAATATTTATATAGCGCTCAATCCACTATTTGTCCATGGTGCTTTACATTAAAAAAGATATTTAAAAAGCTAAAAGTTCTACAACATTATAAAAAGAAAGCATCACCTAAGTTACATCTGATGTTGCATTTAGTTTTAAACGAAAAAAGGAGTTCAGTCTCCGACCTCCTTGAATTTTCGCTAGAGAAATATCAATTCCCCTTTTTTAAATTTAATTTTTTGTTGAGGTGGTTTTGAACAAAAAAAAAGTGTGCTGTCGGCTGTTATATCGTCGTCAATCAGAACATCAAATCGAGCTCTCTTGGCATTAATGCGAACGTCTCAGAAAATACATTTCCGTTCGAGAGACTGTCTTTAAAAAGCTTATGGGCATAGATATATCCTAAAGGCTGAACTCGAGCTTTGCTCTCTCTCTTTCTCTCTCCTCTCATTTTTTCTTGGTTGACTGAGTAATCTCTTACCTCACTTTTAGACTTCGCCTTTCCACTTGGAACCGCTTTCAATCTATCGCCAGAGGGAAGATGTCTCTAAGTGAACTTTTACGGAAAGCCACCGAGAATGATCCTGTGTCACCGGTACTTTCCGATCCACACTTCAAAGCCATCGACAGAAGATTGAAAATTATTGTTAACACAGTAAATAAGTGTCTTGAAGATCATGGAGAGGAAAGAGTTTTAATTATCGAAGATATGGTTTAAAATTTCATCTCAAAAGCAGTATTTATTTGGAATATGTCGACCTTAATTAGAAAATATGTTAGGTCAATCTATAAATGTACTTTCGTGGATATTTTTGGAAAGGGGGGTTTCACGTTCTTCTCAAGAGTACATGATATGTTTTATGTTATACTGTAAGAATGTTTCGTTGAAGTTCACGTTTCATCTATAAATCCCATGATCCGAATAGGAACTTTCCGCTCAGCTGCTTCATATTATTTTATGGACTATACGCCCTTTTAGCTGATTCGTTTTTCTATTCTCATTACCTGCGGGCTGGATACGTACTAAAACTGTGAGGAGAAGTTAAGCTTTAATTAATTGCAGAAGATGAATGTTTGTTGCACAGGTTCTCTTCGTATGCCTGGGAACTAGGCTGGCTTTTACTCGGCTAACAAGCTTGTTCCAGGCGTTCAGTCAGTAAAATGGAGCGAAACAGTAAGCGGCGCGATAAAAAAAAAAGCGAGGGAGGCCTGGGTCGCGTCGACCCAAGCCTCCCTCATTTTTTCGCTCCTCCGCTCCTCCTCCCCCCGCTTACTATCGCGCTTCGTTTAACTACTTGAACGCTCGTAACAGGCTATCGGCCAACCAGTCGCTCTAACGGAGGGCTAAGGCTCGAAACGTCATTTCTGGAATTTCTCTGCCGTAGCCAATTTACATTGACCCGAGTTGATGAAGCGAAATTATTTCTACCTCTCAAAACTTTCTCTCTCTTAAGTGACCCAAAAGAAATTTCTCCTCACAGTATACATGCGTTTATAGCAGAAGGGTGATGAAAAGAAAGAAAGACATCAACTTAGAGATAGTTTGATTTTACATTAAATTTTAAGAACGAAAATTATTAGAAATGGATTGCAGATAGTGAGGAGAATTTGTATTTAGATCATGGGATTGAAAAAGTTTATCTAGTATTAGGCTCCTTGTGGGGAAGGACTCCTTTGGACTCTTTAGGTCCCTTATGGCACTCGTGTGGGGCAAGCAAGGACTTATAAGGACTCTAGTGGGGCGAGTCATTTTTCAACGCCTGGGGCGTGGAGGGAGGATTTTGGATTTTAAGGGGATCACATGGTTTTTGGGGGAACAAAGGGGAAATCAGTCGTCGCCAACAGAGTATGGTGGGAATCGTATGTATTGGGGGGGGGGGGGGGGGGTTCCAGGTAAATTTTACTATGACACAGTCAAAATCCTCCTAAACCTCTTCCTTTCCTCCTCCCCTAACAGAAGGCTGAAGTGAAAAGTATTAAACTGTTGGGTCCAAGATGGGCTCTCTATGAAAATATGAAACGTAGAAAAATAACTTATTGAATTCCTTTTTGGAAGATATTTTCTTTGTAAGGGCTTAGTTATCCATGTTTGCAAGAAAAAAATGCTTGAGAACAGGATGATTGTGCCTTTTGTCTACCAGACTAAACCCTCAAATAGTCTATTTGAAGAGTTAAAATTTATATCCGAGACGTATTCATTTATAAATGGATTTATCTTCATACTTTTCGTGAAATTATTCAGAAATACACTCACGTATGTTAAAAGACCGTTCAAAACTTCTTAGAGACATACTTACGTCATATTTAATGAAACCAAAGTCAAATGCAAACTACGGTTAAAGATAATGAATCATATAAGAGTTATTTTAAAGATTCATGAGATCATGTTGTACGACTTTTTAAGGGGGTGAAATTGGTTTTGATAGCTTAATTTATTCTATGAGTCAAACGTCAAAATTACTAGTTTTGCAGGTTATTAACTTATTCTTATATACTTTATCTATGAATGTGTTATCCAGAATTCTAAAGATGTTAAGTTATTTTTTCAATTTAGAAAAAAGTTGGGTTATGGATAACCGTTTATGCCGTCAATAACCGTTTGTGAATGAAAGCTCTAATGTCAATTCGTCGTACACAAAAACACGTTAATATATTTTGATAGGGTTTTTTCCATGGGAACATATCTACCAATAGATATCGCGTGAATTTTGTGAATATTGGCCATAGGTGTAATGGGACAGAAATAAACAGTAATATATATTTCACACAATAAAAAAGTGATTTCAAACAAAACAGACTTTAATTGACACTCATTTATAGTATATTCGCTTTACTGTGACCGCGAATTCTAGGAATTCCTTGAGCGAAGTCAATTTAGATTTAAGCCCTAAATGTCACCCAGTCTAACTCTCTTCTTTGCAAAACGTGGTCTTCACTGGAGGTGAAAGGCGGTCTTTCCAACGGAAATTTAAGCTGAATTTTTTTTTAACGTGTGAAGCGTCCTCTTAGTCAATATAACTGACCACGAAGAATATCAGCAGCCTACACTGTATGAGTGGAACTTTAACTCAACTTAGTACACTGAAAAGTCGTAAAGGTATAATGTCAGGAGGTTATCTCATTCCTTCAAGTGTACTTGGCTAGGAAAGTTAATGGGTATGGGAAATCGTAAGTTCATTCACACGCTTTTTCATTCCCAAACACAACCTTGGTGGTCAAAGGCTGATTGCAATCCGCTTGTGTTGCTGTAAGAGATGCAGAGGTCAAGATCAGAGATGCAGTATCAGATTTATTATACTGTGCAATTCTAGGGAGATTACCCTTGGTTGCACAAGTAAACTAGCAAGACACAAGTTAGCTGAAACATCCGCCGAACTTGACGGTTTCTTCTAATACTCCGGAGGCAACGACGTACAAAAGCTTAAGTTTATGTTGTCCTATTTGTTCATTGACTAAAATAAGATTAAATTAGATCCCAGGCGAGGGAGATACTCGTAATTTAGAGGGATGAGTATGAAAGTATAAATTAATTGATTTTCTAGGCTCAAAACTCACGATTTTGGTAAGGAAAGGGAGGGAGGTCCGCGTTAGTGTTGTGGAGAAATCATTTTTACCAGAAAAAGTCTTACAGGCTTATCTATGAGATTCTCTCGCCCTTGAATACTTACGAGTTATAATCACACGGTCTATACGTCCGGAGCACCAAAGCGAGGTTAGTATTTTCTTTTTGTAACAAAAAGCCAACATCACTGCAAGTAAAAGACACACAAAGAAAGCAAGACAGCTTGCAAACGAAATGAACCACAGGGTGCTACCACTCTTTCCCTCTTTAGTGCGGGCAGCCATCATGTCTTGTGACATTACAGGTGCCGTGGATACCAACACAGCAGGCGCAGTTGTCCTGTATGCTGTAGGCGCGCATTTGATGGTGTCAACATCGTATCGACATATTTGGTTTGCTGGGAGGTTGGTCTGTGCTTTGCACTGTTTCTCTATATCTTCGTCCTTACTATCAGCACAACATCTCATGCAAGGTTTGCAATCTCCAGTTGTAGCTCTATAGAAGCTGTTATATGAAAAGTTGAAACATGAAATCAGCCTTTACGATAGGTTTTTCATCAAAACTGCGCTTCACATCTGTCCTGTGAATAATCCTGGCGGGCACAAAATAGTAAAGGAAGATTTGATTAAGTCAGTCGATACAGACGAGGTAGAGTTGGACAAAAAATCTCAGGTCAGGTTCTATTTTGATGACCAAACTTACATACATGTTTCCGATATAAGAACACGGGACGTACAACGATAAAGGCACAAGCTGAGAAAGTTGTCTTCCTGCTGACAACTAATGATTGAAGGGTCGGGAGTAGGGATAAACTCTTCAAATAATGAAACTGAAAATGATTTATTATCGATACGTCTCAGTTACTGAGTATCTATTCTCGAACCTGAAAAACGACGAGAGAGATTTTCATCCCAGATGCCGCTCTTCTCGTAAAATTCAGCAATGACTTACATACCCAGCATTGCATTCTCCACAAACCGCATTCTTCGTGGCAGTACAAGGGCTGATCGTTTCTTCGTTAGGGTCACAGATGGTGCATGGCTTACACGAGGAGATATCTTGCTTATCCGAGTACGATTTGCCAAGTTTACATTCTACACACTCCACTGTGACGTCAGCAGTTATACGCGAGCCACACTGTGGGACCATGCCTTGACCCTCGGGACATTCTGGACAAGGAGAACATACGGCTCCCTTGGGACGCAAGATAGTCAGCTGATTCCATCTGCAGCTTCTGTTACACGCCACTTGTATTGGAAACTGATAATGTAAGAGTTTGCGCTAATCAGAAAGCAGACATTGACAAGTACGAGTTTTCAGTCCCCTCTTTTTTTCTCTGAGTCCACAAACAACTCAGTATTTTATGCTGCAGCAGAAGGCTTTGTCACCCATTGTGTAATCTGATTCATGGCCTAAATTTTTTTCGATAAAGTTTGAAATTTGCAATTAACCATAACTTTCTCTCGTTTTGTTGGTTAAGAAGAAGACGCAGTTTTTTCAGGTTAATCATTCAGCGAAGCAAATGCAATTTAAAATAGCGGGAATTTTTCACGGTTTTATCCAAGATCAAGGTCCTCCGTACATGACTGCTGACAGTCATTTCCTATTCTATAAACCCGGAAAAGAGGCGAAATTAACAGGCTGCGGCAAAACCCACAAACGCAGGTGATATTTTTAAACCTAACCATGATAACCGAATTTGATATCTGAAGGGACACGAGTATTTCACGTGAGAAGAAAATATTCTGAAAAAAAAATCTAAGTTTGTGTTCGTTCAGAGATATGGACTATCCAATTTTTTTTTCATTCCCATGCATGTTTCTTCAGTTTTTGTCCATAGATAATCTGATCTTCGGATCTTCATTGTTTATTTTGGAAGTTTGATTGATTAAGTTCTCAACCAGTGACAATCGAGTCGACTTGGGAGGTATTTTCCCTTTTTCCTCGGAGACAATTAAAGTGTCATCAAACCTTTGTTTTCGATAGCTCTTTCGAAAGTGAAAGTAACCGCACTTTGATAGGAGGAGGAGGTTTGTAATACTCGCTGCATGAGATCACCCACTGTTTAAGTTTCTGTCAGAAAACAGTATTGCAAGTTCGTAAACTATCGAATCGAATAACAGCACCTGCCCTAATATGCTGACTATGCTACTTCTTTAGTAGCTTTACGGAAAGTTAAATATAATTATACGACGCCCGCAGTAACTCAGTTTTTTATACTCAGTATTTTCCAAAGAACGATGAATATAATACAAAGATATACCTACAATCAAATGAATTTTCATAAAAATAGTTAAAACATAATTTACGTACGCACCATATAAACAGTACAGATGCTAATCAGCATGAATAAATCAGTGTTCATCTGAGCAGACATGACAGGCTGTGCCATGTACCTTGACCTGCTTTGCAAAAACATGCAGAAATGTCATTATTTCTGAATAGTTTTAGTACTGAAAATTTCTTTCATCTGTGATTGCTTTTAGCCACCATAAACGTTATATCTTAGCAGCTTTGTTGTACATATTTCAAATCCAACCATAGCGTACCTAAAATGCAACAGCCCACGCAATAATGCCTAAAATTTCCTGAGAAAACTCTCTTTATCCGACTTCTTTGTTATATAGCCCTTGTTCATCATTAATTCCACAGCCACTTTTCTTGTCTAACTCGAATTAATCATATTATTTTTTTCCTCTGCCGTTAGAATGAGCATATTCATGAAATCTGCGAATTAAACTAGCTTCGTTTACATAATTTCTGATCACAAATAACTCATAATATTATATTGAAACGGAAGTCCTTATTTCTTTTTCTTTAGCGTATGTGTGTTTTTCAATCCGAGTTTCAAATTTCGAAAGAAATATTTCTCTTTTAAAATCACGTAAGACAGATTGTTTTATGGGAATATTTCCGACACAAGACAACAGCCCACGCAAGTATGTAAAAAAATTTCCCAACAAAATTCACTTTATTCGACTTCTTTGTTATGTAGCCCTTGTTTATCATTGATTCCACCGCCACTTTTCTTGACTGACTCGAATTATCCAATGAAAATATATCATTTTTTTCCTCTACCGTTAAAACGAACACATTTATGAAATCCGCGAATTAAATTTGCTTCGTTTGCATAATTTCTGATCACAAATAATTCACAATGTTATCTAGAAACGGAAGTCCTTATTTCTTTTTCCGTCGCCTCTGTGGTTTTAAATCCTAGTTTCAAATTTCGAAAGAAATATTCCTCTCTAAAATCACGTAAGAAAGGTTGTTTTATGGGAATATTTCCCCCACATCCAATGTGCTTAGTCATCAGTTTTTTAATCAGTGTCCACCACGTAAGAAAAATGAGATAAGTGATTAATTTTTAGAACAAGACCTTCTCAGTAAAGCTACCTCGTGCACACAAGCAAACCTCGAGAAATTGAATGTTAAGATAAAATACCTGTTGCTGGAAAGATTTCTCGAACAATCTTCAGTGCCCTAGATGCGGCTCGTTTTGCTAAAATATGTATACGAAGGTCACTCAGGCGCGAGCGTCTTGATGGTCCCGAAGGGAAAAACCCCTAAGAGATAACTTGTAACCTAAGTAATATGATATGCTTCCTTCTTTTCGATTCGATGTGAACATCACTTACACCAGTTCTTGGCTCTCAAACAGAAAGAAATCGAGCTCTAAATATGCTTCACTTACTCTCCAATTTAGCCTAAGGCAATTTTTCAACAATGTTTCGAGTCACCGCATTTCGAGGAAATTGACAGTTCAGACATGGGTTGCATAACCAAAATAGCGCTACCCGACTCCGCTATTTCTTTACCTCGTGACTTAGTGTAAGAATGGACTAATATATGAACTGACATCAGAAAACTGACATTAATGCAGTCTGTCAAAAAGATAGAGTCATTTTGTACGAAGGTAAAGACGCGATGGAACGTTCAGCCCTGGATCGCGCCTCAAACAGACGTCGCAAGGACACAAAATGTTGTCAAAGTAAGCTTGTTTACTTATTTCGTTGTATCTCTCCATCTTCTTTGGCGATGTTTTACGTTTTCCACACAAACATCTTCATATGGCTGATTACCTCAGCGCTAAAATTGAGATTTTCAACCGCCAATGTTGTGACGTATAAAGATTTCCGGTTCTTTGTATTTGATAACTAATATACTTCGTTCACAAGTTCTACTTAACGAAGGGAAACAAACGATTTGAAACTGATAAACTCCCAAAACTGCGAACAAAGATCCAGCTTGGTTATAAGTTGTACCTCACAGGAGACCCCATTAGCCAAACTTGTGAAGTGTACGGTGAGATATCAAGATATTATTCAAAACAATATTTCGGCCAGCCAGACCTGACTTTTTCAGATTTAGATAATACTGGAGTATATCACGGCTTTACAATACTATGTTATCGTAGCTAAGTAAGCTTTAATACCCATAGGAGAACAAATATATTATACCACCTTGTCATTTGTATTTCTAATACATTTACTTCCGCTTTCGTTTGCCCACACGAGTGTTTTCGAAAAGTCTACTCTGAAGACCGTTTTAGTGTGAAAGGCTAATCTCACCAGGTTAAAATGCGTTCTCGGTGTTTGAAAAATTTTGTACACAATATTGGAAAATTTTCATGCAATTTCCCTTCCTTAGAATGTTTAAGCTTCTTAAATTTCGCTCGACAGTTTTCCACTTTTCTAATTAATGCTCCGTTCACTCTTGTCCGAATAATTTTGCTAATGTTTTTACTAACTATGCCTTATTATCATAATTTGAAGAAGACTTACAAGTGTTTAATCATTTGTTTCATGATTTAGAGTCCCTATTAAGTGTAGATCACTATACTATTAGTTTTAGTCACTCGTAGGAAGCTTGGTTGACAGGAACAAGGCAGATCAGTCTTTTGTTGATCATATGCAAGGATGTTGTTGGGATATCTTTGTTGACCATGATGATAAAAAGGATGCTAAATCGTCCCACTAATAATTCAAGCGTCACTGTCAATTGTAAATTCAAGACATCAATTGAAGATCGCAATGTTTCGACCATTATTTAAATTGTTAATATTTGAGAGGCGACAAAGATTCGTTGCACATAGTTAATCAATCGAAACGGGGCCCGGATAATTCTCTTCTCTGTTTGTTTTGGTTTCCATAGTTTTGTTTGAAATTTGTACGTCGGCATCAAGTGTCACCTGCTAAATATAGATCGTTTAGCATACCAGACGACCTCGAGTCATCAATGGTCATGGGTGAACGCACGAACATTCGTTGAAAAGTCAACAGCAAATTTACTAGTCGCATTCGTGACGTCGTGTGACTCATCTGCTTAGGGAAATCCCCCAGTCTTCCTTGCCTGCCAAAAAGCACCCCGCGTCATTAGTTGCACCATCACTTTCCCGTGCGCTTCTATCATTAAGATCGTCAGCGGAATACAATAAATCAACTTGGAAAGGGTTTTAATTACCACAGATTTTCTCTATTCAACAAGAAGAAACCTTAATTTCAGTATCCAAGCGGGCTAGAATGGGTAAGCAGTGGTGTGGCCTAAATCCCTCTTTTTGCCGTTCCTCCCGATCGAGTCGATTCCCTTTTTTGTATGCATTTATTTTAGTGGACTGGCTATTCATACCGCTAGCAACCTGTGGACAATTTTCGATCAATCTTTCACGTTTGTTTCTCTTACAGTTTTCTCTCATATGGTATGAAGAGCGACATCGAGCTCAAGGTAAGAGGGGATTTGTGTACTATTCAAATTTTTGGTCATATATTTCATCGTCGCGCAAAAGAATACATTCGAGTTCGACATAGATACCTGGTCATTGTGCAGAATGTTTGTGTTATGAACCTGTTGAAAAGCCAAACTACCACGACCCTCCTTAGGGCCTGTTTACATAGGTGAAGTAACCCGCCTTGCCGTGGTCGAAAAATAACCCGCGTTTACAGACAACCTTACAAGCCCGGGATTCTCGAGGTTGTCATCGCACTTGTAATTACAGAGTTAAAGATGTCACTACGGCGACTTGTGGGAAAACTTTGCCGAAAAAACGTTTTGCTCTAAAATTTTCGCCAATAGCTCGATGCGTCAACCGTACCATGTCTTCACTTCGGCGTAATATGTGGATGGACTAAAGAAATGGTGTCTTAACGTTTTAGCTTTGTATGGGACGGGTAGGAGATGTACAAAGTTTTGACACTCTCGTGTTTCGCAATTGTTTGGCTCATTTGATCTTTTAGTAACATGAACACAACACCGGCAACGCGCCTAGGTGGGTCACCCCACCTATCATGTAAACGCGATCAAGATAAAATAATAGATTATATGGACAAGTGGGTTACCTCAACTACCTGGGGTTCCTCACTTTCGTGTAAACAGGCTCTAAATATCCATTATAGGGGCATCCGAAGACATAAATTCCACTTTGGTTAGGTCATTCTTGTCATACTAAGAAATTTCATCTTTCAAAATTATTGTATAATCTTCAGAGGGTATATTATAATGAGGCATTGAAAGCCTTCTCTGAAACCAGCATCCCTGTTCCACTTAAGTGAATACAATCGTGACTTTAAATTGTCTACAAGCTTGAGATACATGTATGAAAATGTATTTATATGAAATAATTTGTACTTCAGGTTAAAGTCCTACCAAAGGGATGAACAGTAAATGGTTATAGCAGTTGCCCATTTCCAAATCACCTTTGGCCTTTTTCAAAGCAAGACCTGGTGCTCATCCTTTCGTATGATTATAACTTTTCATTCCTATGCAAAATAACTTCATTTTCATATGAATGATTGAGTATGATGCCTTATTTTGGAAAAGAGGCAAAAGGTAATTTGGAAATGGCTTATTGAAAAAGGAATAGTGTAACAATTTAACCCCTCCTAATGATGTGGCTTTTTCATCTTTATGTCCCACTGCATCAAGAATTTTGTTATAGATATTTTCTAGAATCATGCTCACAACGGATTAATAGTTCTTCTTTTTCTTTCCCTTAGATAACACTACTTTGGTTACTATGGCTGCAGTCTCTGGTAAAATGTAGACCCATACCTTGTCCTCTGTCGAAAAACATTGTACGGTATGGTCCCAATGGTGAAATAGTGGACTGTGTTCCTTGTGCAAACTGTCCCATTGGACAGGGGTTGTCATTTCCTTGTGGATCCAAGGTGTCAAATGACTCAAAAATTGAGTGTGTATTTTGTGAGCCCAACAAAACTTACTCTGATGACCATGGAAAAGGACACTGCAAAACATGTCAAGATTGTGGTGTTAGGAATGTGATTCAGGAATGCACAATCAACCAGAACCGTGAGTGTGGGAAAACATGTCCTAAAGGGTATGATTTTGATAATACATTTGATGACTGTGTGGAAGAGCCAGAATCAGAGATGTCCACAGCTATTTCAACACATTCCACAAAAACTGTTAAACTGGAAACCAGTGGCAAAGAAACAACTGAAACACCATATAAAAGAGAAGCTCATGATGTTACCACTACTGCCTCAAGTAATTCTATCAATATAAACAGCAGTCAGCCAAAATTTCCATCAACAGGTGTTGATAATACCCCTTCACAAGGGACATCACTGAAGGGAACTAATAACTCTCCATATGTGTGGTCAACAAAGGAAGTTCAGCTTCAAGTCCAGGACCACAAAGCACTTTTAATAGCTATCTATGTTTTAATAGCTGTAGTGATTGTTGTGATTATCGTAGTGCTGGTGATTGTCTGCAAGAAAGGGCAAGATCACAGCACTTCAAAGAGAGATGGAGAGCCAAGAGGTAGGATTTTAATACTTATATGGTCAAAAATCCTGGTGGCAAGTCCTCTGATCTTGTCATCAGGGAACTGATAGCAGGAAAACCTCAACCCTTTAACTCCCACAACTGACCTGAACATAATCTCTTCCCACAATATCATCACAACATGAAGCAGACAAGTGATGAGAATAAAGCAAAATATAAATTAGAGGATTATTTATTGATCCATTACCAATTTCTCCAATATCACTCCTGGAGAATTGTATGACAGACAGTAAGAAGAATTACAAATGAGATCATGGGAGTGAACAGCTTACCTGAAACTGATAAAAAAAATTAACATCCAGTTTTATGTCAAGAGATTTAAGTTACCCAGTAGTTTGGGAAAGCAGTCAATTCTTAACATTCCCCAAATTGGAAATGTTTTATTTTAGATCACATATTCACCCTCTTCTACCTAAATTTTGCCTTTTCAACTATTTCAGTAAAGGCATCTCTCAATTTGACAATAAGCCCACATCTCAATCATTTAACCCTCTAACTACAGGGCAAGGAATGACCAAGACAGTAAGGTGAATACATTATGAGATCTGGGAGTGAGAGGGTTAAGATCTTAATCCTTGTGACAGACTGAATTTATTCATAAAATTCTATTATTTAAGATTTTAATTTTGGTGATTGTAACTTTAAGTTTGTTTAACAATTAATTTTAGCTCTCCTGTTTATATTTTTGCAGTATATTTTTAAATATTTTTATATTTTTTGTCTATATACATGCAGTGCATGCCTGGTCAATAATTGCAATTAACTCAAAACATACAATTTTTAGATATTGCAGAGGAAAATATTCCACTGACTGATATTGATGAAAGTGAGGGTTCATCACAAGCCACAATTAGTAGCTCTTCAACACAAGGTATTTCAAAGTTTGAATTCAACATAGGATAGGTTAGCGTCATCTTACAAAAACAAAAAAACAAAAACAATAAGGATTGTTTTGCAATTTTTTCCTAATTCTGGGGATTGAAAGGGGTTAAGTTTCTGGTGAAATTGCCGTGCTACGTCGGTGGGAGAGTACAACAGGGTAATAATTAATAACATGAAATAAGTTACAAATGTAAATTGGCCACCATAAAGAGTATAAAAGCTGACATTTCAAGCATTAGCCCTTCCTCAGATTGATTGGAAGAATTGTAGGTTGTGCGTTTATATATGCGGATAATGGAGCCACACTATTTGTGGGAATATGGTGAAGAGATAATGAGAATAAATTTTAGTTAAACTCTCTCGATCTAGAGATTTAGTTTGCTACTCAGTATAATAAAATTCTATCATGACACCTCATTTAGCATAAACCAAGCAGCAGTCACCCTTTGATCAGCTATCCAAACCTGGCTTCATTTAATTTTCATGACCTGAATTGGTAATTTCACCTTAAATCAAAAAGATGTATGTATCACGTATTGCTTTTATACAATTAGCATAAATATTTGAACCAAAAATTTCATTTTTTTGTTGCAGTGCAACAATTATCATAGTATTACCAGAAATTGTGGCTTTATCAATTAATGCAGTCTAAATATTGACTTCTTTAACTCTAAGATCTGATTCATTTTAAATTCTCCCTTCTATAGTGGCATCTGTTTATTCCAGCCCCTAGAAATCAGGAAGCTAGGAGTATTTTCTTTAGCTGCTGACAAAGTTTGAATTCTCATTACCTGGTGGCTGGTTCAAATATCAAAATTGTGTGGATCGAGAACATGTTAATTGCACCAGAGAAATTAAGAGAGAGAGCTTCAAGTTTTTATGCTTTTTTCATTTTTTTCATTAGAGGATTTGCGTGATCCTGCTCTTGAAGATAATGCCACAGAACCTCTTTTAACATTGGCATCAGTGGACATTCCTACAGGTACAATTGAGTCGAATAGGCCATTTTACAATTGTGTACTTCATTGCCAAGCCTTTGATTAGAGTGAGGCTGAAGGTGACCATGTTGTGATAGAGACCAGTATCTACTGGTAGTTGGTATGATAACAAAGTAATTAATTTACATTTGAAAGCAGCAAGGTTAACTTTGTATCATAACAACGTCACCCTTATCCTCACTCATGTTCGAAGGCTTGGCAACCAAGCACACAACTGTAAAATGGACTATTGCATTATGACAGTTTTTCTTTTCAATTTTTTTCTCTATATATCTCAGTATCCCTACAATTGCCTTCCAGTAAATTAAGCAAAAGGTTGCACATTCTATGAAATGTTCTAAACAATAATTAAAAAAGGCCTGCATTTTGTTTTTTGCTTACTAATGATTTTCTTAAAATAACAGATACGTAAAAATAATATCCATCAACAATTATCTTTTTAGATAACAACATATCAAGAAGTGAGGTTTCTTCTCATGCCAGTGATGCTCAAGGGGAGGATGACATGAATGTAGAAAATATTCCTGCAGGTGATAATAATTTATAGTCACAATAACAAAAGCCTGCCTCCAAGGTTATAAATCTTAATAAAAGGTGATGAAAACAGTACATACCGATACTTGTATTACAATGACAACATGATAAAAACCCATGCAACTAAAATGGAAGATGACTTTGACCAACCATTTATCCATACATCAATACATAAATACAGTTAATATCCTGGCACCTCCCTGTAATTCATAAAAACTGCATAATTTATTATAAGTGATTCCACACAAATGTCCCCAAATCTGAAAACTTGTGGATGTGAAATGCACACACCTCAAAATTGTGAAGTGAACATTGGTCCGTCGGATGAAAACCAAATTACGTGACTCTGAACAATCCCGAATCGTATGAATTTTACAAGAATTTTATTCGATCTGAAATAATAAAATAAATAACATTCCTAAACAACAGAACCTAACCAAAAATAAGAGACCTAAGTACATCATATAATCTTAAAAACACGAACAGATTTAACCGCTAATTACATGCGGTCTTACAGAAATTACACTAACAGAAATCAACGCGAATAATTGAATGTAACAAAGCCTAAGAAAACCAAAAACGACTTAAAACAACTGACTTACTTCGTGACGGGATTCCAGAGTTAAACTGAACTGTGTAACCATTAAAAACGGGAAAGCTATCCTGATTCATACCTCCGACACGACACGTGTAAAAACTAACTAAAAACCATCAACTTACTCATATTTCAATGTCAATCAATGTGATCAATAAGTGAAAAGAAAAAGTGAAATATTAAACTAAATAAACTTTTAAACGTAACGCAAATGTCACGCGAGCAATGTTCTTCTTGAAACAAACATGCCCCAAATAATTTCAAATATTTATTAAACTCTTTCGATCTAGTGATTTAGTTTGCAACTCAGTATAATAAAATTCTTTCATGATATCTCATTTAGCATAAACCAAGCTGCAGCCAGCCTTTGATCAGCTATCCAAACCTTGCCTCATCTAATTTTCATGACCTGAATTAGTAATGCCACTTTAAATCTAAAAGATGTTTGTATCGTGTATTGCTTTTATACGATTAGTGTAAAATTAGTGTAAATATTTGAACCAAAAATTTTATTTCAGTTTTCTGTCATAGTTCAACAATTGTCATTGTATGACCAAAGATTGTGGCTTTATCAATTAATGCATTTTATATATTGAATTCTTAAACCCTAAGATCTGATTCATTTAATTCTCTTCTATAGCTGCATCTGTTTATTTCGGCCCTTACATATCAGTAAGCCAAGAGTATATTCTGACAAAGGCCCTTTAGCTGCCAACAAGCTTTGAATTCTCATTACCTGGTGGCTGGTTCAAATATCAAAATTGTGTGGAGAACATGTCAATCACACCAGAGAATTTAAGAGAAAGAGCTTCAATTTTTTATGTCTTTTTTCATTTTTTATAATTAGAGGATTTGCGTGATTCTGCTTCTCAAGACAACGCAACAGAACCAATTTTAACACAGACATTGGTGGACATTCCTACAGGTAAAATTGAGTTCATTAGACCATTTTACAATTGTGTAAATTGATTGGAGTGAGGCTGAAGGTGACCACGTTGTGATAGAGACAAGTATGAAGTTGGCATGATAACAAAGTAATTCACATTTGAAAAACAGCATTGTTTGTTTGCTTGGCAACCAGGCACACAACTGTAAAATGCACAATTGCATTATAACATTTTTCTTTTCAATGTTTTTCTTTACATATCTCAGTATCCCTACAATTACCTTCCAGCAAATTAACCATAAGGTTACAAATTTTATGGAAATGTTTCAATCAATAATTAAAAAAAGCCCTGTATTTCATTTTTTTGCTTAACTATGATTTTCTTAAAATTATAGGTACATAATATTATTCATCAACAATTGTCTTTTTAGATAACAACATATCAATTAGAAATGAGGTGTCATCTCATGCCAGTGATGCTCAAGGCAAGGATGACGTGACTGTAGAAAATATTCCTGCAGGTGATAATAATTAGTCACAATTATAGCAAAAACCTCACTCCAAGGTTGTAAATCTTAATATGATGAGATGAAAAAGCACATACATGTATTGCAATGATACATGATAAAAACCCACATAACTTAAATGGAAGATGACTTTGACCAACCATTTATCCATATATCAACACATTAAAGAATACAGTTAAAATCCTGGCACCTGTAATTCATAAAAACTGCATATTTTTAATGATTCAATGCAAAAGTCCCCAAATCTGGAAACTTATTGATGTGAAATGTGCACACCTCAAAATTGTGAAGTGAGCATGTCCCAAATAATTTCAAATATTTATTACCTTCCTTTTCTTTCTGTCACGTAGACATTCATGTCTCTCAGATGGAAATGTTAGGTGATGTGAATGGCACGTTGTTCATGTATGTTCAAACACAACTTGATGCCGGCGAGACCTGCACTCGCAAAACATGGCGCAGTGTTGGAAGAGAGCTGAAGGTTCACTCTGATAAGTTAAACTTGATACTAGCTGATGGAAGAAGTCCTACCGAATGTCTACTTGAATATTTTAAAACTTTAGAAAAGGAGCCTACAATGAGGGAATTTGTTCAAGCCCTCAAAAATTGTGGAAGAAATGACATTGCAAGATACATCCGCAATTGGCCATGGGCAAATTGAGGAAGAAAGGAAAGAATACAGTATATGTGCCTCAAATAGTATTTTAAATGATAATTAATTTAATTTGTACAGTCACGAACCTTTCTCCTTCAATAGCAACAGAACCAAAATATTCCAAACAAAATTCTCAGAGAGAACAAGACAAGGGAAAGTGAGAACAATTCTGGGAATTTGAAGGAAGACATGGGTACATTATGCATCAAGAGCAGTGAGACAAAATGGTAGTCCCTTCTGGGACAAGACCATCTTTTACAAAATAAACCCAGACAGGATCAACAAGTTGAGTGATAACAAATACTATTAGACATAGTGTGGTCGCCATAAGCCTTGTATCCCAGAGTACAAAGATAAAGTTCCCTACGAAAGTTTCTAGCTGCTTGAGGCTAAGCGCACTAGCTATAGTTGGCTACCACAATGCTTATAAAATTAATACATACACATACACTGCACTTACATACAACAGACAGATAGATTAATTGATTGACAGATAGAAAAAAGTAAATAGACAGACAGATTGCTCAATCAATAGGTCAAAAGATAGATAGATAGGTAGATAGATAGATAGATAGATTTATTTTGCCAGAAAATATTTTCAATATTTATAATTGAATAACAATTTTGTTTTTCTGACAAGGCAGCTTATTTGCAAACCATGGGGCTTATGACTATGAGCTGCCCTAAAATACATTAATCATGTGTGGAATTACTAGTGGAACAAAGAACACAATAAATCTTTATTTTGATCATTGTTAAGTTCGACTTACAGCACAAACAATTCAATTTGTTCTTTGAAATTCCAACAAGGTTGTACAATAATTATCAATCTAATTAATGTATTTAGAGTACAATTTTTTCTGTCAATGTGCTTCGCACAAAAAAATGTTTTCTCTTACTCAACCAAAATAAGAGAAAATTACAACCAAAAAGTGCAAGGCTCAAGATTATTTCTTAGTATTGTACTGTGCATTTACACTGCCATAAAATGGCAACTTTCCACTCTCTGGTGATCCAAAGTTCCCCTGGGAGCAATATCTTCAACAGGGAGTGCATTTACCTAATTATGATTCATGCTCCATATGTCTTGAAATCAAGGAATAATTTGCTTCTCAAATTTTGGTTCTTATACTTTGGTAAGAAGATAAAATGACAACCTTTGAAAATTGTCCTGCTGCTCCCAAGAGAGTAAAATGGCAACATTTAAGGTTTCTGAGATAATCTACCAAAGATAACATTTGACCAAAGTCAATGTGCAAATTCCATTTCATATGAATGACCTTTAAAGGTTCATAGGACAATTGGAAGCATACTCATTTTGGGTTCCAACTTGAAAATCCTCCAACGGATGTAAAACTACAGTAAAGCAAAAAAAAAAAATTACAAGCAACAAACAAAAAAACCCGTATACAATGCATGCACAGTACAATATGAATTTCTGTGCCCAGAAGAATAATATTTTTGATAAAATATTGATGTTTTGAGATACATGTAATTCTCTAAGCAGGAAGTTATTGTACACACTTTGCGAATGCCAGTTTAACTTCAAGCACAAGTATGTAATAGCTTAACATAGCTATTGCAGCATAAGTATAACTATACTTAACGAGATGTTAATGGGGTAAATTAAAAAGCACCTTAAAGTTTATGACACAGATTGTGAAATTTGCAGTTTTTACACAGCCTCCACTAAGGATGGAGTAATGGCAGCAAATTCAGTGTTCATATGGGTTAACAAAATATTTGACAGTTGCTATAGCAACAACAGAAATGAGATCATGACGTGGCATGGTTTACTAAATTGGTCAGGACAGACTAGAACTGCATGACCTACCCAAGTTAAACATGCATATTTTTAAAGAATACAATACATGTATCTCAAACAGTATTTTTGAATGATATATTAATTTTGTTCAGTCGTGAACCTTTCTCCCTCAGGGTGTTTTCGTGTCTTGTCCTGCATTTGGGTTTTCAGCAAGCTAAGAAGATTTTTCCAGTAAACAGCAAGCACAGTCATTCATTAAACTCTTAATTAAGATGACTTATGTGTATGATAAAACTACTGGTATTTTTTTATACGTATGGTATAGATAATTTAATTGATACGTAACTATTGGCTTAAGATTAAGAACTACACATTAGAGATGACGTGTTCAGGTTAACTTTAGGCATTAAGAGCTATCTTTCTGATTTAATTGATATGTGTGAATAAGAGGTGGTTATTAATGAGAATTTCTGACCTCTATTTTTACTTAAAATGTACTTTATTGGGTATTTGTATCATGCAATCTTCTTTGTTTTGTTTAAATGCTTACTTGAAAATCACTCTTAAATTTAATAAGCTATTGGATAATAATTTCAAGCTATATAAAACTATTTAATGCTAGGAACTATTCAACATTCAGTAAATAAATAATGTTTCCACTGTGACTCTTTTACATTGCTTATTTGTCCAGGATTGTTTACAAGACACTTAGGCAAAAAAAAAAAAAAAAATGAATGCAAGATTAAGATTTTAACAGTGTTACAAGAATAAGGGAACATGATTTGATTGAATGAAAGCTGACTGAATATTATTTGCCATCATTGGCTTTCAAATGTGTACTTTGGACTTCTTATACTTTCAAAATTTCATTCTGTTTCATGATCTTTTCTGAGAAACAAGGTTAGGAGAGTGAACAAAAGTAGGACATCCATTTGGATTGGTAACTAATCCAAGCCGCTTCCTAATAAAATTCTGGGAGGGATGGGAGCGACATAGCAATACCTTTAGAGACTAGCAAGCATGGAACCATGCAAGTGGTTCTACATCACAGCGAGAATTTTAATTCTTGCATGTAGTATTGTTAAAACAGTTAAGCATTATAAAACCTTTAACCATCAAAAGTGATTAACATGTAACTTCTCCCCTCATACATCCATACATTATCCAGAAAATGCTCAGTGAATAGTCAGACATATCAAGTAGAAGATGTTATCTTGATTTAACACCAAATTCTCGTAAGCAACTCACAAGGAAGTGTTTAACAGTTAGAGGGGAGAATTAACAAATTATCAAAACTTGGGAGCCTAATAGGGTTAATTTTCTAAAAGCTCTTATTTCCAGAAGATACCTAGGATGAACCTCTCTACCGCGTACTGGTACAATTTCAAGCAGAAAAGTGACGATGGTGAAGAAGAGAGAGAGAGAAATATGAGTTAAGGGGTCACAAGAAATTTACGGCAGACAGTGCAAAGAAGTTATATTTTGATCTCGTTTGGGAGAATTGGGATAGCATAATGCAAACCGTACCAGTTCTGACATTAGATATAACAATTTTACGTTTGTTACGATTATTTGCATTTACTTGATTATACTGCGGTAAAATCGAATAATTTTTCACTCTGATGAACTCACCAACCTTTCCTGAGCCTTAAAATGAGTCTCGAGTTTTGAAAAAGTGCTAATTTGGGACTAGCTTATCAAAGAAGAACCTTTGTGCAGAATTCTCCTGGCGAGCATTAACTGCCACATATTTTTCATTCTCGGTACGATTGAGACTAAGGTCACTTCCTAGCCCATTTGGATGCTTAATAGGCCGATAAAAATTCAGCTGGTACTGGATACAGCAGGAACCTTTCCTTTTTCTTGTGGAGCTAGCGGTTATCGTTGTTGTCGTGTAATAGGCGGGTAATGTACTGTATAGTGATGGCGATGATCATGATGATCATTCTAAACATTTATGTGATCGTTATTATTATCATAATTATTATTATTACTATTATTGACACCATTATTGATATTATTATTGTTATTGCTATAATAATTACTGTTATTATTGTTATCGTTTGTATTTTCATTGCCCGTGCTAATAAGACAATTGGCATCTCTGATCTTTTTTTCCGCTGGCTCTTAGCAATTAACTTGTAACGGAATAAATTAATTAGTAGCTCTTGCGGTTCTGGACCAGAACCCGATAAGAGCTTAAATAATTTCAGTGCATTATGCACCACTACAAACAAAGGGTTTTTTTCGTTTTGTTTTTATTTTTTATTTTTTTGTTCACAAATTTTTAGCCAATCTTTTTGGCTGATTTTTACCATGTTACTCTTAGGTAAGGTTTTTTTTTTGCCATTACTTTATCTCGATTATGAAAGCGATCTTACTTAATCCTTTAGCGTTGCGCATTTTCGCCTAAGATAGAAGTGCATTATAAAGCTTTCTTCGAACGCACCAGAGCCCAGTTGTGCAAAAAGACGCCGGCAATAATCCGCGATTAAAAGTTTAACTTGTCATTGTCTTGAAATAAAGCGTATATTTGGGCTTACGTTTTCAGGGATTTCACCTTAGCTATAGCGTGAGACAAAACTGGAGGAAAAAATATGCGCAATTAAAACTAACTGCAAAGCTGCAAAGCTAGATGAAAAATTGTTGGCTAACCCTTGGTTAGGTTTATCGTGTTTTGAACAACGCGGCCTAAGGCCACATCAGGCAGCACCTTGGACAGAAAGAGGCCTCTGTTGCGTTGTTCCCCCTATTCATTTGTTCACTAGTACTTTTGAAAGCAAAAGCTTTTTTCCACACGAAGAATCTCAAAGTCTGCAATAAACACCTCTAATCATACAGAAGCCGATAAGGGGAAATCCCAAAAACCTTTTAATTTATTCTTTTGTTCAGGATTTGTAAATGTTGTTTGGATCGTAAAACTTTTTAAACATAATTTTTATTAAAAAATCCTGTTTCTACGATTAAACAATTTTTTGGATTTCAAAAACATTTTGGGATTGCACCTGATCCCTTATCGACTTCCGTAAATCAGGGCTTGCTTATACATTTAACTAAAGCAAAACAATCCGCGACAAAACTGTTTGACAAATATCAATGGCATCGTTCACGCTACTCCTATTAGGAAGTTTTAAAAAGTAACATGATAAATTAACGACAATTCTCTTTAATACCCTCTTCTTCAATTCAATGTTGCACAATCAAAGGAAACAAAGTGCAATATTGAAAAACTGGAGAAAGAGGGATGGAGGGATATAAGGGATGTAACTGATGAGCTCTTCCAGACTATGAATGTGGTCCCACTGGTGATGTGGCCAAAATTTTTTCGCCGATCGTAGCATTCCATATCTGATCCACAATGTATCTCATGTGCTATCAAGGCTACTATAAATTATGTAATTCTGAGTCCTAACGAGTGAAAAAGGATCTCGAGGGAGCCCTCCTTGTTTACACCTTAAAGAGGAGCTCGGTGCCAAATTTCGTCGCATTTG